GTGTGTCTATATAAATGTGTACTTGTGTGTGTGTGTGTGGTGACTTTTGAAGTGGTGTGATGGTGATGTGCATTTGTGAGATAGGACAAAACGTGGACCGATTTACGGTATCGTGATCTGTCGGCTCAACTACCGCGCGCGCTTTTACGTCTCTCCATTATAGCCTGGTGCATCCCCTGCTTTCTTTACATGCCGCCGACTTCGCGGCAATGCTGTACCATCTCTGTCATCACATCTCACTCACTCGTTGCTTTATTTCTATCCTCTTCCGCCCTCTCACGAGACTTTGCCAACTCCCGAAGACCCATGTGACGCTAACACCAATGTACCAAGCAACAGGTATTACTGTCTACTAAATATATTCACACTCCCAATTCGATTAAATTCAGCCACCCAATCAACATTTTTTGATACCAACTGCTAGAAAAAAAACCCTAGATTTCTTTGAATTTAAATGAATAGAAAAAATTACTAAGCATCGTAGAATTTTATTGGGTAGATTTATTGAATGGATTTGGCTGTGAATATATATACAATTGATGAAGGTAAAAAAACAGTAAATTTGAGAAAGGGGTAAAAAATAAAATTTACCTCAGAATGAATTGGAGGCAGAATATATTAGAAATTTGGATATTATTGAAAATAGACAGTTTACGAGTCAGAATAGGTGTAAATATTATTTGGGGTAAAAGAAATTTTACCTCAAGGTAAGATAAGTGGATAATTATTACAAGAAAATTGATCTAGTGGTAATTTATCTTGTGCAAAGTAAAGTAAAGTTCATTTCAGACTGGGGTAAAATTTTACCCCACAGAATTTATCAACATACTTATTTCAAAAATACTGGATTTAATAATTAAACAATTTTTACTCTTTTTTCGACGTCGGTCAATTCGATTGTCATTAATTCGATTAATTCTTTTTTACAAAATCGATTTCAAGATTATAAAGTTTCTCATCCAAACAGTTGATGATAATTTCAGTAATCGATCGATTTGTTTGAATTATCGATAGTATCTAAACGATATATCGTTGATATCGGTAGTCGTGTATTTAAATATTCATTCACTATCAATCTATCGATTCATGATGATCGATAGTGTATCGATTTTGTGTAAATATTTCTACATAATAAGTTTGCTAAATATGCAAAATGCACACTTGTATTTTAAATTTCTAATTAACAATCGATTATTAATAATTAAGAACAATGAAAGAAATAGTAAGCAAATGGAGGAAAAGGAATAATCAGTAAATGAAATGATTCAAATAATGAAATAAAATAATTGTACTAGTATTTATTCTATGACTGGTATTGTCGTTAATAATTTCATTAAGAGCATTGTATATGCTCTACTACCTATTGTTTGTAGCTTGTTGCAGACATAACATTTGTTAGTGAGTACTACTTAAGTGATAGGATCTTTGCTTACGAATTGCTTAATTATATCGAGACCGTCGTATCTTTCTTTCTCAACTTATTCATCTGGATAAGCCAAGTAGATGCAAGCGTGACTGGAGATTCGCGAACAAGATAGTAACATACGTCTAGTCATAAGGTACTGAAAGAGGGAATGAGTAAAACGGCAGTGAGGTGGGTGGGTAAGGAGAGAGATCGGGGTAAAGAGAGGCAATGTTTGCTCGTCACGCCGCCGCGCTCAAGAAAATGTAATCAAGCAATAGAGAAAGATATAAATTCATGTTAGAGGTTAAAGTATGCTCATGTTTAAGATAGTCGTTATTATATAAAAGGGGTGGATTATTAACAGGTTAATTGGGGTGCGTCTTTTTTTATATTTAGTTTATCGATTTTTATTTTTATTCTTTTTTAACTAATTACATACACCATTGGTTTATTATGTTCTCAATCATTACTATTGAAAGAATACGAGAGATATCTAGTCTTATATGGGGTATCTAATAGCTTTTATTTCAATCCCATTTTACCCTAGAGAAAAGGATTTTCCAATTTTTTGACTTATTCATTGGTTAAAGCATACTCTAAGCAATTTCTAAGACTGGTTTTGAGAGTTTTTAGATCAATTATTGAACTCATAAAAAATTTTTCGAAATTAGAAACCGATGAACATGGAGGAAATTTTTACCCCGATTTTTTTGATAACCGTAAAATAGACTTTTTTTTTAGATTTATCAAAGTATTATTGCTGTCTATAACATTTTTTTAACAATGCTGTACTTTTTTTAAATTTTACCCCATTGTTGGGTTATTTACATCAAGAATTTCAAATTTTTTATGGTCTAAATTAATGAAGGATAAAAATAATCCTAAATATGGAGTAAAAATGAGTAATTTATGATTTAAACTTGACAAAAATTTATCAGTAAAACTGCATTATCATAGTGACATTTTTTTACCTCGTTAATCTCATTTTACCCTTATTATTCTTAGATATCCATAAACTCAAACACTAATTATTTCTATCAATATTTTAATTAAGATCTTCAAATTAATCCATAGAAAACTTTTACTCACATTGTAATTTTTTACCCCATTATTTTTATTCATACTGGAGGAGTAAAATGAAAGGAGTGGGGTAAAAAATCATTGAAGATCTTTTGAATATTAATAATATTATAAATGCATGACTCAAAGCTAAGAAGAATTAGTGACAATATTTTTTTACCCTATAATTAATTTTTACCCCTTAACTGAACTAATGCAAACAAATACAACCTCAATGCAGTGTTGAATGTGAATAAAATTAGCAGTGCATAATTGGATGTAATCTGCACCAGATTCCGGTAAATGAAACGAGTTTTTAGTTAGATACAGATAAGATAAGCAAATTACTAGGACGTACATCAATCTGGATTGATGTTGAGTAGAGTGCAGAGGAAGGAAGTTAGTTTACACGCTCTCACGGTTTGACTCTTGGTACGTATTATTGTATATTATGTGGATGTGCCGTGTGCACGCACAACCAATGCTGTCATAGTCACCGGAAATGGTCTACAATTCACGATACTGACTCACAACTGACTCGCGGCTTAGATATATACACTATTCTATTTTATAACCAGACATAATCTCATTCTGCCTCACAAATTAGTCTCATCTCTTATTCTCTTTCTTTCCCAAATAGATAACTCACTAAAGAGTAACCTCATTAGAACAGAAAAAAAAAAAAAAACCTTTCGTAATTGTTTTAAGGCCAAATTAGGTCGACTTGGAAATGGTAATTTAGTAGCTTGATTGCTTGCTTTAATCAATCATAGCTCGTTAATTAATGATTGAATCTTATTTTAAAACTAGCTCTTGGGATCGCCTAAAGTATGATCTTTGATATAGACTAATTACATTTGTTAAAAAAAAAAAAAAAAAATTCCCTATGAAGTAAAATTAGATATAAAATAAACCCAATTAGTGGACACAATTTTTAAAATTTTTCATCCAATTTAGTTTACTAGGGATTTGAATTTTTATTGAATCCGCTAGTAAAATAAATTGGATAAAAAATATAGGGATTTTTTTTGTCACTAAAATTAAATGAAAAAATACTTGAGATTTTTTCGAATTTATTAACAATATTTCTTGTCAAATTAATCATTAAATGTAACGAAATTTTCTTACATTTTGTAGAGATTTTGATTTTAATTATGTTACAACTTAAAATTCAAAAAATCCCTAGAAATTTTTTTTTTTCTACCAAAAATTTATTTCAAAACTAATTTTTATTTCTAAAATTTTTATCAAACTTTTATAATAATAAAAATTTCAATAAAATTTCTAGGGAATTTTATTTTATTAAATGAGAAATCAAAATTAGGACAATTTCTAGGGATTTTTTTTCCCAAAAATGCATTTAAGACAACATCGAAAGTATTTACATGGCTCTTTAAATGCAAGCATAATAATTTTTTTTTATTATTAATGAAGTGATAATTATATTTTAAGATAATTATTCACCAAAAAAAAAAAGGGGGAAATATTAATCAAATTACCTATTACTCTACATTGTATCCAATTACATCCGAACGATACATAAACTAAAATTCCTAATGCACTTATTTACGTATTACATTGCTAACAAGCCTGGTGGGTAAATAATAAAAGAATTTATTGCTGAACAACTAGTTTAACCTGATTTAAAACCATGGCTATGTTATTCAGGCCACTTTCCCATTAAATACCAAATGGAAATAATGTTTAAACGCAAACGTATGGTTGAGTAAAAGTTTAAATATAAATTCCACCACTCTGGAGTTTTATTTATTAATACTATTAATACTATTATTAAGACAGAGGTGACTTTTTTTTCGGACATTGGTGTAGTTTTAAATTTTACACAGTCATCATAAGAATATTTCCAATTATTTTTTCTTCTCACTACGCAGTTTCATTCCTTTTTCCAACAAATATAAAATCATTTCATACTAGTGTTTAAAATCGCTCTGAATACAATCTACGCATTACAATTGATTCTATTTTTCATTATCATTATAACAATTAATCTAATAATTATTCAAATTTCAATTGTCCTTCTTTTATCTTTCCGTCAAATAACCGTAAATTTTTTTTTTCTTTTTATAATGATATTATCAAAAAGATAACATTTTTTCTGATCACAAACACTGGTTTCAAAGCCCATTCCAATTGTTAAACCGTGAATCATCAATGATTAAAGTTACAACTCTTTAATGTCCCTAGTTAAAAAAATAGTTCTTTTTCACGAGAATTCAGTATTTAAATCAAGTGTTGTAATTATTACTATAAGTATTAACATGACAAGTCGTAGTTGCCATTCTAGTATTATTAGTAGTAGTAGTAGTAGTAGCGTAGTGTAGTAGTGCTACAGAGTGGGGGATTTGGAAGTGGGGTGCAACAGCAACAGCAGCATCAGCAGCGGCACCGAGTGATTCCTCGTGTGCGCGCGTGTGATTATCGGCTGACGCTGTTGGGCTCTTATGCAGGCCGCATGCCTGCAATTAATAAAGTTTATTAAGAGAATCAGTGATTTCTAGTAATATTATTGATATAATTCCCTAGATTCAAAATTTTCCCTAGTAATTAACATAAAATTCCCTAGAAATAATTTATTTGTCATTGAATAATGTTAAATTGATAAGTAAAAAAAAAAAATTGAAAAATCATTTTCAAATGTAGGGAGGAAAAAAAAACCCTAGATTTTGAGTGAAAAATAAAAAGTCCCTAGAGGAAAAGGAATTATTGTGGGATAATAAAATGACGTGTGTTAGACAGAATATTATTGTAAATATTGACAGTAAATTAAAACGATTAATCAAGACAATTATGACGAAGACGACGACGACAACGTCCTTGATTAAAGGCTGACTGTTGTGAACAATTGAAAGTGACACTTGGTGGTTTGGAAAATAATTAAGTCTCATTGAGGAAAAATTATTTCCATTCAAATATTTAAGTGATATTATTGATGATAAATCATTAGTTTAAAATCAATTATAATATCTGATTAAAGTGTCTAGTAATTTTTTTTTTGTTACCAACATTATTTATAGTGATTATTTATTTATTATATAAGACAGTGATATAGAGAACATAATTATTGGCAGATGAAATGTGAAATTTTGAATAGTTTGACAGAAGTTGTGTTGTTGAAGCAGGTGGTGAAGAAACCGGTGTGGAAAATTAAACAGAACAAGAATAATCGGCGCAACGCGCCTGAAATGACGAACACGCGACGTGATTTTTCATTGTCCCGATACCATCATCGTTATAAGGCTTTTCTGTTAATTCCATTCCTCAGTCTTATTCTTTTCAACGCTCAAGAAGCCACAGGTTTGATATTTTTTTTTTCTAGGGGAATTTTGTTCTAAAAAATTGTTTTTCTAGTTATTTTCTTCTATTTATCAATTACTTCCATAGGATTTTTTTTTTCAATTTTCCTGTTTGTTTCTTATTGATAATACTTTTTTTTAGGGATTTTTTGACAAAAAAAAGTCTAGGGACTTTTTTCAAATAATTTTTTCTATGGGGATTTTTTGTTTATTAAAAGGATTTAATTTTACCGTAATTAAGTAATAATATTGGTTAATATTTGCAAAATAATTTATTAAAAATAAAATTGTAAAAGGTTGAAGAAAAAAAAAACTATCATGGCATTCATAAAATCATTCTTTTAGTGATTTCAAAAAATCCCTACGACAATTAGGCTGCCAGTTAGGGGGTGCGGGGGGGGGGCAATCAAGAGAAGCTGTACAACTTCAACTTCAAATAACTTCGTGCAATCCAAGCGTATAATCATTATCGTACAACATCGGATTTAAGTTAAAATTTAAGTTTTTTATTTTAACGGAAAAAATTAGGGATAATTTTAGGGATTTATTTTTAGAACGAAAACTTGGCAAGTTTGTGAATAAAAATTCCTCCAATAGAAGCAATCATGCAACAAGTGGTGATGGATGTGGTTGATGTCCACTTTTTATCTACTTATTTCACCAAAATTACGAGGGAAATTTGAATGTTGTGAATGACCAAAAATGGAGAAAAGTTAAACAGATTATAAAGTAAAAAAGATTTGGAAAAAAAAAAAAAGAAATTTTATTTCCCTTTTCTTTTTATTTTCTTCTTTTCTCTTATCTTCTTCTCATTTTCAATTCTTTACTGGTTCTTACTGTATACACATGTCTGTACGAATCCTAAAGTTCCTTTTGCCCAATGAAACGACGGAGCGCTGACCCGTAAACTGGTTCTTCCATTACACTTGGGCCCTTTTTCTTTTATACTTCTTTTTTTTTCTACATGTTTACTAATTTTTTTTTTATTATTACTCGCGTTGTTATTGTCATTCGTTCTATGATTTTGTTATTTATATTCAATTTGTACGCAACAAAGAAGACATTTGTGACACGAATCGTGAAGACATGAGTTTATTATTTCCTTCTTCAAATTGAGTTTAATTTTCAAAATAACAGAAAATCAAACTCCTAGGGATAAAAAAGGATCCTTGGAACTAAATCAGGGTTTAAGACAAGAAAAGGAAGAAAAAATAATTACTTTAGTCACAAGAATATAATTTCCCTAGAGTAAAATTGAATGTGTAAATAAAATAAGGCCAGTGGAAATTTTTTTACCACTCTTTCGTTCCAGTGTTGACACTGAAATAATTTTTATTTCATCAATACAAAGTATCTATCTTCTAGATCATACTTTTTACAATTTTAAACACTGGTTTTGATTAATTTTTTTATGATAAGTTGATAAAGAAAAAAATGATTTAAAGAATTGAAGAAAATTTTCGGAAATAAAAGAGTAATTTTGAGAATTGAATTATTAAAAATTATTAATCAACAATAAAATTAATTGGTTTTTTCTTTATTCCAGGTGGAATCTGTTGGTCTTCCATAAGCAACGGCAAGTGCAAGGAATTGTTGTCACAAGGTGTGACACAACAAGAGTGTTGTGCTTCAAGTACAGCAGCAGCAACAGCCTACTCGGACGAGGATCTTGACAGTGGGAGTTTATTTTTCTGGAGGGTCCTTGGAGGTGGGGTTCAGTGTAAACCTTGTCGAGGTAATTAAACCCCCTCCCCCCTTCCACCGAAAAAAAAAAATATACCCACTTGAAATCATCTCAAACTTTAAACATCCACTCATATTCATCAAATTTATTCCAATCGACTTACAGAAAGCTGTGCTGAAGTTGAATGTGAGGAGGGAAAAAAATGTGTACTACGTCGAGGAAGACCAAGATGTGTTTGCAGTCCTGAATGTAAATCTCCTCGTGGTAGTTCAAATGGTCCAGTTTGTGGTACTGATGGTAGAAGTTATCGAAGTTTATGTAGACTTAAGAAACATGCATGCAAGAAAGCTAGCCATGAACTTGCAGTTGCTTACACTGGATACTGTCAAAGTGAGTGTTAAAATTAAAGCTTTTATTTAAAAAAAAAAAACAATATATATTCACTCAATCAAAACCAATCATTGTAGAGCCTTTCAAAACCAGTGTTTGGAATTGCCAAAAGTATGACCTTCATCATGGATCTCCACCTGGATAAATCAAATTGATCTCCATACTTTAAAACCAGTTTTAAGTGAAATTAAAGATCCTTAAAACAGGTATTTTTGATTTAACCTTGTGAAAAAAGGTTCAAAGAGAAAAAAAAACAAAAGGGAATAAGCCACTGAAATGAAAGCAATTTTTATTGAAGACATCAGCTACTTGGTCATTCCAAACATTGAATCAAAAAGGACTCTAGATTGATAGTTGATGTTTTTTTTTTTCATTTTTTTGTGTTATCCTGAATGGATAATTAAGTTTAAACATGTTATTAAGATTACAATAATGATTATGTCACCACAAATAATAACGTGTAAAGTGTCGGGCAGGTTCATGCACACGGGTCCACTGTGAGCAGGGTCGAAGTTGTCTATTGGATCAGAACCTGAGTCCACATTGTGTTAAGTGTGCTCGCAAGTGCCCTCAAGCACCGCAGCAGGTCGCAAGCGCACGACCTGTCTGTGGAGCCGACGGAAACACCTACAAGAGTGCCTGCCACCTGCGTCTTGCTGCTTGCCGCGCCGGACGCGCAATTCCCGTCGCCTATAAGGGCCACTGCAAACGTAAGTTTCTTTTATTGCTTTTTCCTTCTTCGTTCCAACATCACGGCCAATGCCACAAGTCAAGGACCCCTGAGTATTCGGCAGAAATGTATTTTTAAAATAGAATTGAATTGCACTGACTTTCATGCTGAATTGGCTAACCGTGTAATTGTTGGAAGGACTTTAGAAGGCAATACTTGGATCTAAGTTTTCTATCATCAGGATTTATTCATACTTTTTAATACAGTGATTGAAAACTTTTTATCAATAGTAAAGAAAAATGTTACTTTAGGAAAAAGATTTATTTTCATCAGATATTTTTTATTTCAAACTTGGTTGAACTTTAAAATTTATTTTGATACTAGAATTAGTGGATATAAAATTGCAGAAAGGCTGATAAATGAATCATTTTTTCACTCTTCAGAAATTTCTGATGTAAAGTCGAGTAATTTTCTTTTAATTTTGAATTAATTCGGCTGAAATTTGTAGAAAAATTGGTTCTTCAGCAATAGATAGAGTAAAATGTCCAAGAAATAGTTACCAGTTAATCAATGACTGATCAATACATCAAATGTTGTAATAAAAATGAAAGAATAACTTGAGAATTATTGTAAAAGATTTGAAAGATCGTTCATTAATTATGACAGAACAATTAAGAAAATTTAAGTGAGATATCTAGTAGGATCTAGTGTCAGTCATACATTAACATAAAAAAATCAGTTAATTGTTGTTATAAACAAATATAGTTGACTGTTGAGTGTATAGGTTCAAATATTTTATGATAATATTAATTACAAACTATTTAGTTTATTTAGGATATTTTATAACGACTAATAGAATGGACGAGGATAAATTTATGTTAATATTAAATTTTTAGATGAATAATAACAATAATTCTTAGCTAAAACTTGACAATTCTTGATAATTTATTATAAAGTTGTCTAATTGTTGAATAATTTGTTTATAAAAGAAATGAATTCATTTGTGTGATAGGGTTAAGTGTTTAACTTCAATTCAAGCTCATTTTCGTACATTTATTACTGGCTTTGATTTTTTTAATTAATCTTCTTTCATTAGGAAAGTTATTTTCGGTGATGCTCTACTTAAGGTATTCATCCTTCCAGAGTTTGTATCAAAATTCATTGTGGTCCAGTCAAATAGAATTAATTATATATGAAAAAGAATATCCAAACTTCCGTGTAATTATATTCAGGAATTATTTATAGTATGATGTAAGTAATATTCAATAATATCTAGAGAGTATTATTAATTATTATTTTTCTACAATTTGAAACAATTCTTTGTACAGACCTGTACCAATACATCGACATTACTTATATGTATGTACCACCACATTACTATTCATTCATTTGTTGTTGGAAAATTAATTTTAATAATTTTTAGTTCAATAACTGAACGTCAGAATTGTATGAAATTTCACTGAAGCATTAATTACATATTCATTGATTTAATGATTTTTTTTAAACGTAATCGTAAATTCCATTTTGGAATATTTATTGAAAAACTATCACGGGTTACCTTCTACCATTAGACTGCATGATAAAATCGCAATCTTTCATTGCAAATATCTTCATTTCTAGAAGTCAGATCTTTTTTGTTCAGAGGAAAAAAATGTTCATTTTTTGTTATTCTATAAAAATAATACATTTTAAAAAAAAAATTGTAAGTAATCACTCTCTCAAGATAACTACGTTAAAATATAATTAATTATATATATTCAATACAACTAATTTTATAATTATGATTAAAATCATCATTCGAGTAATCTTCTTGTAGTGAAATACAAATATTCGCACCTGAAAAAAAAAATTAGTGAATAAATAACCAATCTTTGAAAATAACAACTATAAAAATAATATTCAATTTTAAAACTGACCTTAGTTATAATCTACCAAAAGATTGTTGTTTAGTTTGACTCTTAGATCATAAAAAATAAAATAACCAGTAGTAACACATTTGAGACGGTTAAAAAAAAAGAACAAAATAAAAAAAAAAAAGAGTGATGAAAAATCTGTCTAGACTCAATAAAGAAAAGGCCTAATGCATTAAATAGCTAGATAATGACACTAAATATCCAAGAAAAAAAAAAGATATAAAATGTCTGAAATAAAAATTAAAGCAAACTTACGTACTGGAGAAAACCCTGATGATCCTGTCGGTAGACGTAACTCGTCGTTTTACTGTTCGCCCAGTGAGATTCCAAAAATAAACACGCATGGTCCAACCTGGATACTCACTGCTTCCCGCTGCCACAAATGTGTAAACATCCAATAAACTTGCATTGAATGGTATACAAAAATGGTCAGGATTGGTTTTGAGTATCATACTTTATTGATATCATTAAAATATGACAGTTGAAAAAAAATATATAAATTTTACCGTTAATTAGTGATGAGGATTAAATATAATATTAAAATTGCTCGAAATATGATAAGTTTAAATTGAAAATTGTCTGTCAATTATTTGGATGCTAATTTTACATAACTTAGGAGCTTTTATTACTTGTCAGGTCATTAAACGATTAAATAAGTGAATGAATTAAATTGATAAATAAATAAAAAGTGTAAATGGAGAAATTCAGTAAATTATTTAAAGTTGAATAGCACTGGCTTGGACCGATATGTCCTTGCGACGTCCTTGTTCTCCGGTCGTTGACCAGACACCAACCAGGCGCCCACGCAATCAGTTGCGTTCACCTGCCGATTAATAAATGACAATTTTTTTCGTTCTTTACCCCTTTAATATTGGCACCACTGTTACACTCCTCTAGATTTTAAAGTCATTCAGAATCACTTTTTGTTATTAAATTATCAAATTCTTCTCTTTTTGGTGGAACAGTTTTGAATCCTTGACCCTTTTAATCAAATTTCAGTTTACCTGCTTGAATATAGCAAAGTAACGAAAAAAAAAAAATACCAAGATGGTAAACATAAATATATTTAAAAGATTTATTTAACTGTTAACGATATGAAGTTAGTCACTACTCGAAATATATCTCGAAAACATTAGGTAATCGATTCCTTATTGGTTAGAAAATTTTATCCGTTAATTGGCGCGCATTTTGAGTGCGCAAATTATTTTAAGGTTATTAATTTATTAATATTTAATAGAAAGTAATGATTTTGTTTATTGTAAAGTGCATACAAAAGATAAAGTAAGCTAAAGATTTTTTATTCGTAATGTGATTGGATGAAAAAAAAAATTACACCGTAATAGAGAGAATTAATTAAATTTCGTGTAATTATTTTCAAATTTATGAATGAAACTTTTTTTTCGAAATACTGGTAATTAAAGATGATTTTTAAATATGCGCTCTTATGTACGTGATTTTTTTTTTAATAACTACATTACCATCTAAGTGGGTATTACCGATTGAAAAATATTGGTAATAATATCGGTAATTACGCCTTATTTATTTGATTAGATAAATGTTGTCAAAATTGGAATTTAAATTATTTTTAAAGTATATTTATGAGTTTGAAATTCTTCCTAACATTATTAACTATTTTAAAAAAATATGTAAATTCATTTTTCTTCGAATTTTGCAAGCAAAAAAAATATAAAAAAAAAAACGTAATACGAAGCTTTTAAAATAATCTGTTGTCAAAGTTCCAATAATATCTCAATACCGAGTTAATTAAAAACATAAAAAAAGACTGCGAGTCCAAAAATATCCAAAAGGAACACGTATAACCGTAAAACGAAAAGTATGCGAGAGAGCATATATGCGTTGGCGCAAGAGATCGTCGACAGAATTGTGCGCAAAGAGAATGAAAAGAAGCATGAGGAGATGGAGAAAGGATAAAAAAAAGTTTTTAAGAAAAAGATAGACCAAGGAGGCATGCTACAGCCGTCTGGCTGATGAGCTGCAGTATCTGGTCTCTCTGGCCTGCATCAGACGATTCCAAGCTATCCCAAGACATTGCGGTGTACTTATATGCTGCAAGAGAGTTTCGTTGTTGCTGTTGATGCTTGCTGCTTACTCTCTGCTTAACTGTTTGCACGCCGTCGGGCTTTCTACCCCCTTTACCGCTCTATGTCTCGTTGATCCTGTCGTCCATGTTGGTAGACACTCGCTCAAGTACAGAGTCATGGATCCTCACTGCAGACTGCGGTACATTCAGTTTTATTTGTATGTACTGGATTATGTTCCTATATAAAGATAAATATGTTTCTGTTTACTGTTTTAAACCCCTAGATTGTTGCATCTATTTTTTTCTTTTTATACTGTTGGTACCCTAGAGTATGCTAGGATCTCGCGTAAAAAATTTCTAGCTAGTAATATTTTTTGCAGTAAAAATTCAACTTGTTAAATAATAATTTCTAGTTATTTTTTTTTTTTTTTTTAAATATAAAACGTTTGAATAAAGTTTGTATACATTAGAAAATTTAACAGAAAAAAAGTCTAGGGATATTTAGGCATAGATGGTATTTTAGAGTTATGTCACTGTCTAGTAAAAAATTTGATTCTTTCAACATTCTAGGACGAAAATAATCCTAGTAATCTAGTAATAAATTTTATTTATCACTAGGCATTACAAAATTTCTAGGAATATTTTTTTAATCACCACTGGTTTCCAGTGCATTTTTATTTTCAAAGTTGAACACAAAAATTTGATTATGCTCTGGAACCAATCATATGACAAAAATTTTTTTTTTTTTTTTTCAACCAATCACATAACGAATAAAAAATCTTCATCAGCAAACTTCATGCAATTTACACGTTTTATGATAGAAAGATCATTAAACATCAATTTATATCAAATGTTGCCAATCGTCTGATTAAAAACTAGTGACATTTAATCGAAATAAATCAAGTTTATAATTACCTTCATATTGACATAAAATTATAATCAAATAAATGTCAATAAATGATTAAATATTAGAGATCATCAAAACATATAATTATCCATTTACTTAATTATCACTTAACAGTCTATTTACCGTTATTTAAATATGCTTATTAAACCAGTGACGTCTGGCAATCCTATTTTCTATCATTTTTCCCTTAGGATATCGATTGAAGTTAGACTTGTCAGTCAATTAATCACAGCTGCCAACTCTACACCCAGTAATAGTAATAGGTAATAAATTACCAGAATGTTACATGCCACATGGGTCTCAGAATTTGCTATTACGTTGGTACGATGCTTAATTGTCCCACCATACAACTCGAGATTTACACAGGGTAAAACTAAATCAATTTATTTGCTGTTGACGGAAGTGAAGCAAATAAATAAATAGTTCTTCGTAATAGAAATGATGTAATTTCTTCCCTAGAGACCTTGACTTGGTAAACTAAACTCATTGTATCAATGATTTTATTTAATATATTAAGCTGATTGTCTTTTTTGTCGACCAACGACCCCCCTACGGAAATTTACCGTCATATATATTTCTTATGTTTCATTCTGCACATTAAATTATCATTCAACATTCATTTATTAATTATTATCAATAATTAAGTATTTTAGTTAAGAAAAAAAAAATATTCAAATAAATATATTTATTACGAAGAAATAAATCCTCCTATTCAGTATTTAAATGAATAAACATGTTTTATATATAGCATGTTATATAATAGGTCAGACGTAATTGAGCAGTAGGTCAAAATGACTGCGCATGAGCATTAGATATTTTACTTTTGAATGTTGGTGTTACACTTTTCCATTTTTTTTTGTCTTTTTTAGTAGAACGCCCTCTAGTTGAATTTCAAATTTTTTTTTTTTTAATGTGCGTATACAAGATGTAAGCCAAGAATATTTACTGACTCGATACGACTTTCGCACCTTGAGTTGGAGAATATTTACAATATGACACACCTACTCCAGCGACACGGTCAACTAAAGCACTCTTTTTCGTATTTGCATAATGGTGTACTTACGTGAGCTTTTGTTTACTAAGCTCTCGGCGTGACGCTCTCAACAAAAATAAAGTTAAACTCATCAGTATACAGATATTTTTACACTAGAACATGTTGGATTTATCATGTGAATGATATAGATTGAAAAAGATTATATTATTTATAAAAATCAGTCCTTTAATGGAATAATAATTTTGTTGGTTAATTTCAATCAACAGGATGTAATTTTAAAGAAATTAAAAGAAAAAAATGTTTGAAATAATTAATGACCATTAAATAATTACCATTTGTATCATTTAGTCTATACTACGCGACATAAATGGTGTCTTAATTTGGTATAAGAGGGTATAGGAAATCGCATGTATAACCTCAAAAAAAAACTAACAAAATCGGACACCACTTATGTCGCGTAGTGTATCTTTTCCATCATAAAGTAAGCAAAAAAAAAAGAAGAAATAACCAAAATATTTATGATAATTTTTGTAGAGAATGCAGACTGCACTACCATCAGATGTCGCGAGGGTCAGACATGTTTAACAGACATAAAATCAAATCGTCCACGATGTGTGACCTGTACTTACCGATGCCCACGGAAGCACGAGAAGATGAGCACCAGAAGAGATGGTTATCGCAGAAATCAAGCAAACCGTAAAGGGAATGTCGATGAAAGCCGAGATCCAGCTGCTTACCCATCTGTTTTATGCGCAACCAATAACATCACCTATCCCAGCTGGTGCCACATCATTAAGGATGCTTGTGTCACGGGCTTCGTCTTGGAAACTAAACACGCGGGTCCATGTAATGCTTATGATGCTCCAGTCTACCCAGGTATAAAGATAGTCATTGAAATAGATAGTATTGAAAAAAAATTTTACTTTGATATAGAATTTATGGATCAAAGTTTATGAAGGTTTTACTTTTAAAATATCAAATTAAATTCAACCTACAAGAATTTAATCTAATGTTCAATCATCACATTTTTACTTATCCTTCAACAAATGTTTTATAGGGAATGACTCATTCTTTACTTTATTAACAAGATAATTAGGTAAAATTTCGATTTACACATTAATTAATGCGAAAAATTACAATATAAAGTATTGGGGGCCTCGAATGACCTTGAGCCATAAATTCTCCGTACACACAAATGAGTCGTGTTGTGTTATTAATCTAGTAAGAAAAACAGTTTAATTTGAATACAGCTAGGAACATTAATGCCAACAGAAATAATCTAGATCCTAAGCTATTGTTGTTGATGTTGTTGATAGACAATATGTATTATTAATGGGATTATTGATAAATATTTATTATTAATAAAGGTAAAAAAGTTAATAAAGAGTGTAAACTTAATGAATTAATCGTAAAATACTGCTTTCTAACTTTCTGAATTAAATTTTTGTTCTCACTAGATAAAAAATGTCGACATTTTTTCATCCACTGCATTATTCGGGATAAAATTATCCTACAATGTTATTGTAAATATTCTTTGAAAGACACTAATAATTGTTAGGCTCTTGAAAGTTGGCAAAAATTTCATTAAATAACTTAACAAACTCGTGAGGCTTTAAAACAATTAAGAAGGATGGGAATAAGAATAACAGTAGGGTTAAAAATGAGATATTTGGAATGCGCATGCGCATAAGCATAACAATACAAGAAAATTGATTAATGCGCATGCGTAATCCAAATATCTAAGGCCTACTCTTATTCTTGTTTTACGCAATTATGTGAAAGTTATTATAGATAATACGTTAAATTAGATTCTAATTATTGATACTTATTTTTAGGTGAAGAGAACGTTACTACCACAAGCTATGAAGTTATAGACGTCATAAGTGAAGACACGAAGAATTATAGTGAGAGTTTAACGTCGAGTAAACTTAAAAATTCCAGTCGTAAATGATTGCTTGATTATTAATAGACACATTGCCGATTCTTATGCTGTTCTTCTTGCTGGTGCTGCTACCAACAGCGGCGTTAGTTAGGAAATAATTTATACGATCATTTGCTGATTCGAAATATAAACTATAAAAACACGAAAAAAAAAAATCAATGATCAATGAAAGAAAAATTAACTCAAAAAATTTACTAATTCAATGAATGACTTAGTTATTAATGGTCTCTTTATTGATAAATAAAAGATAAAAAACATAACTCATAAAAAATTAATTAATATTATTTATTATTATTATTAAAAATCATTTATTTTTACTGCGTGATGTAATGAGGAGATTAGTAATAATTAATATACTGATTAATAAGCTAATTATTAATGAGATAATTATACATTTTATGCTGAGAACAACATACTAAAGTATTATATTGAGTATTTAATTAAATTAATCAAATTATATACCGCCAGTATCGTAAATGAAGATTTATTAATTTATATATTATTATTATTGTAACGATATATAATTTATTTGTATATCGATTAATTAATAAGATTTATTTGTTGTCATTTATAAATGACAGTTTTATTTTATATAATTATATAAATGATATTTTAACATTGTCGTGCGCCAGTAGTTATACCATTGTCGTACTTAATTTATTGTTTGATATTTTTAAAAATTATTTCAATTAATAGATTATTAAATTATAAAATAGAAAAAAAAACATTGATAATTAATTTAAACAAGAAGAAAAGAAAAAAAAAGGAATTCAAGTAATGAATACGAAGGTTTAAATGACATTATTATAATTAGACCAAATATTTTAGTGTTAGTTAATGTATTAATGAATATTAAACGTTCAGGAAAAAAAAATTATAACTATTAATAGTGATAATTAATAATAATTATTCAAAAGAAATATTAATTAGTCATTTAATAAAAGTAATATAATAAAAATTGAATTATTAAATTGTTTGAAAAAAGTCATTCATCGATTTTTTTCTAATTTTAAAACCTTAAAATATTTTTTTTTTTATTCATCGAATAATTTAAACTTATTCGATTTTATTGAATTTAATGAATTATTTAATTAACTACATTCAATATAATGTAAATTGTTATCTTTTTATTTAAATTAACGATGAATGTATCATAGGTGCTTCATGACTTTTAATTATCAAATTTAAAAAATTTTAATTATTATTATTTATATCAAAAATTAATCCATCTTTTGGATGATTAATTTCTCGAAATCATAAAGTAAATTATTGGAACATAGAAAGTAGTTAATAGAAAGAATGTAGAAATTTAAATAATAAAAGAAAACATTATAGTATCAAACAATAAAAAAAAAAAAAACGAAAAGTTATTAATATATATAAAAAAATAAAAAGCACAGTAGAAATCATTGTAGATTATAATAATCTATACAATAATCATTCACAGTATATTGAAAAAAAAGAAAATAATCAATTTTTTATTATAAATTTAGGTATTATTTATAACATTAAAGTTATTCTTATTGTAAAAGTAAACAAAAAAAAAAAAAACAACAGCGAAAACAAATGATAATTAAAAATAATTTAATTGCGTAAATATTTATTGTTAATAAGACAATAAAAAAAAAAACGACAAAATGTTTAATATATCGTTGGTTTGCATGAATAATATAGTAATTAATAATTGATGATTATTAAGTATATACTTTGAAGACTGTCGGATATATTAGATAGATTACGTAAATAATAATTTAATGATATTTAGATGAATAATAAATTATTGTCATCACTATGTTAATTAGTAATTATCAATGAATAGTTTATAATAATAGTAATCATTAATAATTGATATTGTCGGCAATTTATTATATTAATAAAATTAATTAACTATACTGCTGTGTTGATTTATTTATATACATTAGTTTTCCTTTATAGTGTAAAGATAGTCAATAATTTCTTCATTATGTTGAAAAAGGAGAAAATTTAAAGGAAATTATGTTAATTTTAATAAGGAACAAGTGAGGATGATTTTCATTTCCTTAAACTGTTCATTCAGCTGCAGTGACCTTGATTATCGACTGAGGTAAGACTCGAATGATAAGAAGGGATTAATTGTGATTAATTGATTGGTTAACTAAGAGTTGCAATTAAGTTAATGGAAAAGTTGGCGTGTACTTGGAGTTATTTGAGATAATTTTACATAAAATCGACTTTAAATCAATTGTGAGAATATGCAATTTATTTACCATGAGTCAATCATTCATAAACGGTTTCTTGATAGTTGATTGTTGGTAAAGTAGACTTTATATCGACTTATGATAAATGTCTTATGAATGAGGGATAAGTTAGCAACCCCCGGAAAAGGAATTTCTTGACTCTTAAAGTGAGAGAAAAACGGAAATTGCTCTAATTTTAGCATAAATTATGCTCCAATCATAATTTTGGGTAGTGCATTGGAAAGCTCTTGCTCTGACGAATCTATTGATATGCTTATTGTCTATATAGGTCTCATAGATCGTGAGATATTAGCGAAAAACATTATTCTTCGGTAACTCCCTCAAATTTCGGACTTTTATCCTATTTTTCTTTCGAATTGAAAAAGTAGTAAATTATCATATTTATGCTTGGATCATAAAATTATGGGTGTCATTGGGAAGATCTTGATGAGACGATTCCAAAAAACTGGCTGTTGACTTGGTTTTGTTGGAAAGAACATGAGATATTGGCGAAAAACTGCGATACATAAAAAATATGCATAACTTCTATGCTAATGATGCTACGGGGTTGATCGAGGGCTCATATGAAAGATCTGGACCTAAGTAAAAAATTGGATCCCCCCTATAGGATATCCCCGTCAAAAAAGCCGTATCTCGCTTAGTTTTCGAGTTATGAGCGTTTAAAGGTTTTTCTATGATTTGGTGCAGCATAACTTTGTTTTCTGCTAATAACTCGGGATCTATGAGGCCTCTATAGATAATAAGCATACCAATGAATTCGTGAGAATGAGATCTTTCTATTGCACTAGTCAAAATTATGATTCGAGCATAATTTATGCTAAAATTAGAGCAATTTCCGGTTTTACCCCATTTTGGGAATGAAATAGTTGATTTGTCATATGTTTGGCCTGATTCCGCATTTCTACGCATTGAGACGAAGAGAATGAGTGGTCAAACTTGAAAATCGGACAACTTTGATTTTTCACCCCCAAAAAATGGCAAGTGGTACCCCTTTCCATTTTTTTCAGCCAAAACATAAAAGTACTCCGATTTTCAAGTTTGACCACTCATTCTCTTCGTCTCAATGCGTAGAAATGCGGAATCAGGCCAAACATATGACAAATCAACTATTTCATTCCCAAAATGGGGTAAAACCGGAAATTGCTCTAATTTTAGCATAAATTATGCTCGAATCATAATTTTGACTAGTGCAATAGAAAGATCTCATTCTCACGAATTCATTGGTATGCTTATTATCTATAGAGGCCTCATAGATCCCGAGTTATTAGCAGAAAACAAAGTTATGCTGCACCAAATCATAGAAAAACCTTTAAACGCTCATAACTCGAAAACTAAGCGAGATACGGCTTTTTTGACGGGGGTATCCTATAGGGGGGATCCAATTTTTTACTTAGGTCCAGATCTTTCATATGAGCCCTCGATCAACCCCGTAGCATCATTAGCATAGAAGTTATGCATATTTTTTATGTATCGCAGTTTTCCCCGAATATCTCGTGATTTCTCCAACCAAACATAGTCAACCGCTAGTGTTTTGGAATCGTCTCATCAAGATCTTCCCAATGACACCCATAATTTTATGATCCAAGCATAAATATGATAATTTACTACTTTTTCAATTCGAAAGAAAAATAGGATAAAAGTCCGAAATTTGAGAGAGTTACCGAAGAATAATGTTTTTCGCTAATATCTTACGATCTATGAGACCTATATAAACAATAAGCATATTAATGGATTCGTCAGAGCAAGAGCTTTCCATTGCACTAGCCAAAATTATGATTGGAGCATAATTTATGCCAAAATTACAACAATTTCCGGTTTTCTCTCACTTTAAGGCTGGGCTGAAGTCAGAAAGTTTCCCGGAGTTGACTTTACGCCCTCGTGTTGTCCGGCAAAAGGCCGAAGCTTGACATCAACTGAAATTGAGTAGGTAACAGGGAAATCGTTCGAAAAATGATAATTTTCAGGGATGCACTACAAAAAGGGAGCCTTAGGGCACCAAGAAATTTACAAATTTCAGAATAATCTGTTTCGAGCAAGACAGAGCACAGAATATATCTATTTATCTCCGTCTTATTTTTCAGAGAAGACTGCGAGTTCGAACAGTTGACGAGCAAGCACATCCCCCACCCTCTGTTACCAAGCCTGAAGCTTATGATATCTAAACGTAAACAAAGCAAATGAACATATGTTGGCTCTGTAGTCAGAAGATTCGACATTTATTTTACCGAACGGTGTTCGATTCCAATTGCGGAAAATTTTTGTTTTTTAATTCAAATTGCATGTAATTGCAATTTTATCATGCCGAAAATGAGTTTTAAATTTCAATTTTTATGTAAAATTATTTTTCAATCAATCGATGACAAATGAGACAATATTTGAACAGGGTCATTAACCTTTTTTTGTACAAATACATTGATAATAGCCTTTTTTAACAACTTATTAACAATAAAAAATAGTTTAAACAATCCGCGGCAAGTTCCGACACTTCACCGGCAAGCTCTACCCCCACTCTCTGTGCCCAAGCCTGTAGCTTATAATTTTCAAGCATCTTCACTATTATTGAAACCATAATAGCTCAGTGATTAGAGCACCAATCTTTTATTTTGCTGGGCAGGGTTCGATCCCAGTCATAGGCAATTTTTTTTTCTGTTTCTTGTTCAAGTGACTTTATATACTTATAAATCAATTCATATATTTGATTAAATTATTCTTCCAATTAATTACGAAAAAAAACTTGTTTTTCTGAAAATAAGCTGAGGGTGAGGAACGAATTACTATGAATTCTCTTTTTTAGAAAATGTTGTCTCCAAAAGACTATAGGAATTAATTTTGAACTAATATAAACAACCAATTATTGTATTTATATAAAATTTTGATGAAAAAAAAAATTGGCTATAACTGGGATCGAACCCTAATCGGTAAAATGAAAGCTTGGTGTTCTACTCACAGAGCTAACATATCATCTCTGTCATTATCTTAATGTTTATACGTTGTATAATGCAGGCTTGAGTATGAAGGGTAGGGATAGAGCTTGCCAGCGAAGTGCCGGAACTCCCCGCGGACTGTTCCAACTACATACTTCTGAATATTTCTAAATTGCTTAAAAAAAAGCTACGTTCATATAGCTATAGTAAAAAAAGTGTTTGTAACCCTGTTCATATGTTTTCTGACTCGGCGTCGATAAATTACATAAATAATTGAGAAAAAAAAAATCAAATCGTTAGTACGAATTCATTTTAGCATGTTAATATTATAATTACATGCAAATCTAACAAATAAAAAAGAAAAAAAAAACTTTACCATGACTGGAATCGAACCCTGCCCATCAAAATGAAAGACCGATGCGCTAACCACCGAGCTATTATGATTACAAAACATTTATATATGCTCAAAAATTATAAGCTGCAGGCTTGGGCATAGAGAGTGGGGGTAGAGCTTGCCAGCGAAGTGCCGGAACTCGCCACGGATTGTTTAAACTACTTTTCAATGTTGATAATAATATGATTAACTTGTTAATAACATAACATTGTTAATACATGTAAAGATGTATAAGTTGTTAAACACAGGCTATTATCAATGTATTTATACAAAAAGAAAGTTTATGGCTCTGTTCAAATATTTTTCGACTTAGCGTCAATAAATTCAATGAATAAAGAGAAAAAAAAATCAAATTGTTATAAAAGATTAATTATAGCATGTCAATATTATAATTACATGCTAATGTAACGAATAAAGTAGAAAAAAAAAATTGGTTATGACTGGGATCGAACCCTGCCCGGCAAAATAGAACTCTGACGCTCTAACCACATGGCCAGCATAATCTCGATATTGAGTTTATGTGTATTTGTTTTTATACTACATGCTTGGATACGCCGACTCGGAATTGAGCTTTTTGATTAACATTTATACCTAATAAAAATGATAATAATGGATGAATATTTGTTGAAGTTATTTTCAGGTATTATATTAATTAATGTTAAATGAGTATCATCATTTTTATTTATTCTAACTGCAATAGTCATCAAAGTATAAGGCATTGTAAAGCGATACACTATGTTTACATCACATACATATATTACCCGTACACACTCATACACAAATTACTCACCAAAATGCAGGGCACCATCAGTTCTGGATACGGATTGAGCATTTTTTCAATATGGATGACTGAGGTCATCTGCGAGCATAATGCTGTCACCTATCAGAATTTTTTCAAACTAATTTTCCGGAGAATATCATCTGGAATACAAGATTTCTAATTATTTCTAAATTATTCAATTTTACACTATGAATTGATTTTTTTAACATTCAGACAGGTGGCAAGGACTGACGCAAACACGAATTTTGGGCGAAAAACGTATAAAAATGAAATAATTAGTGATTTTTCATCTGAATGATGTGGCCGCCATCTTGAAATTTAAGCGCGGCAAGTCAATTCATAATTTTTTCATTATTCTTTCTAATTTTTTTAATAAAAATATTCACTATATACAAAAAATTGTTGTTTACGTCAGTCCGGCATTAATTCCTCTGTAATTTGGTACCTAATTTTATAGAAATAATTGTAAATTGGCGAAGAAATTAGAAATTTCCCGATCCCATATATTTGGATAGGGGGAATCAGTCGCCTCTCTGACTTCAGCCCAGCCTTAAGAGTCAAGAAATTCCTTTTCCGGGGGTTGCTAACTTATCCCTTATTCATAAGACATTTATCATAAGTCGATATAAAGTCTACTTTACCAACAATCAACTATCAAGAAATTCATTCTCGGGGGTTGCTAACTTTCTTCCTCAGTTTCAGATCTTCCAACAATATCATTGTTAATAACTAAACAGGACATTAAAAAATTATAACGATCTCAAAATAAACAAATTTATTCTTTATCATAAAAAATACATCATTACAGTAAAATAAATGGTAAATATATAAGAACCATTAATATGAAAACAAAAATAAAGGAATTCATTCCATAGCTCATGATGTAGAAGGCAAATATATCATGATACCAAAAGCTACTTAGTATCATGATCAAAAAGGACGAATCTTCTTAAGCTTTTTTTGTATTAGATGATGGAGCCATTGTAGTTTTAGAAGGAATTTCCGTGGATTTACTGTCACCTGATGCAGACCATCTATTTATTCTATTTTTTATACCTCTGTAGATGTTAGAAGGAAGTGATGATAGTGATTGCTTCAAAGATGATAAAAATACAGTTCTTTTACGTCTTCCTCCCACGTCTGTTTTATTACATGAAAACTGCAAGAATAAGAGAAACAATTAATTATCCAGGAAAATATAATCCATAATACCAAGATTAGCATACTAGTTTTTAAACCCTGTCACAATTTGATTCAAAATAAATCTTGGTATCCAAGAAATACTGATAATTATTTTGATGATCTCCAACACTATTGATGATTTTAAAATTGAAACATTATGTAAAGATTTAATAATCTTGATTATCTTAGGACACACATGTTGGACTCAACTGATCATATTGGTATTGGGGTTCATCAAACTTGTTCCACTAAATCCAATGATGAATAGTCACAACTTACAACAGGACATTGTTCTCTACAAACAACAGCAAGACATTTAATAGTGAATCTATCTGATATAGATTCAGACAATTTGGTGATTATTAGATTTGTGCTGAAGTTTTGGAGTTCTTTATCCCATGTCCACCTCTCGATATTTTCATTCACCTCACATTCATTATATAACTGTTGAATATTATCAGAATCATTTGTCTCAGCAATATCACAGTACGTTACTCTACCATCTTCATACTTTTCATCAGTTGCATCAGTTTTTAGTTTGATATCCAATCTTAATAACATTTCAGATTCAATAATGTCAACATTATCTCCATTCTCATCAGTAAGTGTTAGGTCTGCAAGTAGATAATGAGCATCATCTAGCTCTGTTGGTCTTGTTTCAATACCTCTGTCAGCTCGAGCATACACTTTCTTGACATCAGGATCACTTAACTGTAAATTAAAACCATCTTTTAGGATAAAACAGCATTTAATAGAAAATTTTTGTTTGAATAATGTAAGATAAAAAGTTAAATTATTCCTATTTTTTCATAAAAATTAAAAAGAATGATTAAATATTCTAGTGAACAGAGAAAAAAGGTAGCATAATTGTTACTTCAATTCATGGTAGCCTGATGCTTTGAGAATAATATACATATAATAATTCATTTTTTTAATTAAGATAATTCAAGTTTTTTTTTTTTTATAAAAATTTTATTGTTAATCGAACTTGTCAATTTTATGAAAAGGAATAATAAATAAATAAATTAAGGCTGGGCTTTACTAACCTCAAATCACCTCAAATTTTTCTCGTCAAACTGTGCATTTTGTATTTGTTTTTTTCATGTAAAAAATATTCAGGAATATGTAGAAAAGTGGCATACACATCGGGAAACAAAGATTTTTCGTACTAGTGTAATAATAATCGTAGAATAAATAACTGTTCAGTGAATTTTGAGGTGTCATGGCGGATGCACTTGTCATGAGCCCTTCACTGAAAAGTTATTTATTCTACGATCATTATTACACTGGTACGAAAAATCTTTGTTTTCCGATGTGTATGCCACTTTTCTGAATATTCCTAAATATTTTTCACATGAGAAAAACTAATAAAAAATGCACAGTTTGACGAGAAAAAATTGAGGTGATTTGAGGTTAGTAAAGCCTAGCCTTAAGATTGATCAAAATATTGAACAATTGAATAAACAATTTTTAAACTTTTTAAATAATAATAATGTAATATTAACTTACATCATCTGCTGATGAATATGTAATAAAAATTGCAAGAACATTTATTATTATGGATAAACTTGGATATTTCATAATTCTTCTTACAAAATTCACCGTAAGTTAACTGAAGAAATAATAAATTACAATGAACTCCCGATGGCTAACAAATCTTTTTATATACAACATGGAAAAAGAAAAATAATCAAAATTTTATGTAATTTTAGTAAATAAACACGTACACAAATAATATCAATTATGATTACTCACGTTTTTATATTTGTAATAATGAAAATTTTCTTACTTATGTTTATTTATTTGATTAATTAAAAAATTTTAATTATTAAAATAATTAATTTTTACTGAATACTTCTCTAAAAATTTTATTTACATTTTTGTTGGTTAGGAAATAAATACACCAAATAGTTTGATTAAATATTCAAACAAGAATTTCAATGTCACAAACATAAGTTATTTCTTTTATTTATAATTCGAGTAAAGTCCATTTTTAACATTCTTTTTGGCTTTGATAATTCTTAAATTTAAATTTTTAAATCTATGGCTAAAAAACATTAATTAAAATTTTTTTTCTATATTTTTTTAATTAAATGGCTTTTTTATAATTAAATCTACGGCTTTGATAAATACTTTAAAGTAGAGCCCCTTAAAGCTGGGCTTTCCTAACCTCAAATCATCTTAAGATAGAGTCAGGCAGGTCCCTTAAGTTCTTATGGGAATTTAAGCAGGACTCAAGCAATATGGCGTCGTTTTGCCAAACTCTGTCTTACGGGACTCTACTTTAAACCGTCAAATAGTTAAATAACTTAATATAACCTTAGTAACATGATGAGTTCACAAAACAACACTTTTCCAGACGTCACGATATCTTCAGATTATCACACTGAAGAATTTCTTGACTTCACTGACGGCGCTACAGGGTCTGCTTTTGCATTCATGTACGGATCTTATACAACAGAATAAAGGAGAAGGTAGGATTATGGATCACTGTTTGTTTTTCTTTAATTGTATTTTACTTTGTTAAATTATCATCAATTGTCACTCTTCGAAGTTTCCATTTATTTGCAAGAAGTTATTTTTTAATGTTTTTGTAGGTTAGCTGATGGAAGACGACCTTTGCTCGCATAATAAATGAATGGACCATATTAAAGACTGGACCATAATCCTACTATCATTGAAAGAATTAGTCGTTGGATTGGCACTGGATATCAGTGAATATTCACTGATTTGCGGTAGTTTTTACTGATTCAGTTTAAGAGAGTAAACCTTAGTACAAATTTAACTGGTTTCAAAGAACAAAAGACTTTCAGAGTCCTTTCGACTTGATGAATTTAAATACTACCCTAGTAGCTAGCTTTTAAAAATCTTTCGTGGCAATCATGTAGACAGAATGCTCAACCCTGTAGTAGTACCATAGGTATCAACTTCTGCATTCACACATGGATCTAACGATAAAATATTCTTACAAGATCCAACTCCAAATCTTGCAGCAGATTCTCATCAGAAATATAAAAGGTATCGACTTCTTCCATACATTCCTATATAGCTCAATCAAAACTACTAGCAGAAGAAATCATCTTTTTTATATTTCTGTTAAAAATCTGCTAAATTTTTTGCCAGCCTTTGCAATAAACCTACAGGAAGATTTAGAATTAAATTCTGATGTAATAGTCTGTCGCAAGATCTTGGTGTAAATACGGAAGCAGACACCAGTGGAACTGTTGACGATGTCTGCATTTATTTTATAAAATAATCAAAAGATTTTGTAATGCTCTAAAAGAATGTTGCTTTACAAATGGATCATGCTACTAGGGTGTTCCAGGTTAGAGTCTCTTAATCCAACTCTAACTCCAGGTCAATAAAAACATGCACAAATAGTTAAAACCCTTGTTGCCATTAGGAACACAGACTGTCATCAGACTTACGTATGTTTAATTTCCTAGACGCAGATAATCGTTCAGATCAACGTTACCCAATGTATTTTATTAAATAAGGCACTAATAAAGACTGTGTTCTTGAAACTTCTTACTTTATTACTTAATTACAAAAATAGTATAAAATGACACACACTTCCTTCGTAGCCAATCCTAACGTCAGAATGTTCGTCAGACTTATGTTGACTTTGACTTACTAGGATTATAATACATCAAATGCAAGTCTTGTAGAATAGAATATAATTTATTTATTTTATTGCATGCCCAAGCATGAGCAACTGAATGCAAGTCTTGTATTTCTCTATAAATTATCAATTATTTTAAATCATAGAAATACATTCAATTTAAAATGATTGATTATTTGATAACGTTATTGCTTGGATAAACGTCTTCATCTGTGCATTTGTTAAGTAATCCAATATCATATCCATAACTTCATCAGGCAATCGTATATCAATATTTGATGCAAAGCATTGTTTGACCGACAATTTTAGCATATAATTTTCATAGCTTGTTTTAGCATTTCGAAGTCGATATCTCAAAATGTCTATATATAATGGATACTTCATATCATAAATTTTCATTTGCAGAATTTTATACATTCTTTTATTTCTAAACAATCTACTTAAATGACGAATATCCATCTTTATTAAATCATAGAAAGTGAGATCATCAACACCCACATTTTCTTTCTTCATCTTTTCAATCTCTTCCTTACATCTGTCTTCAAATAGTCTCATATCACCAATTTTATCATCAGTAGAAACTTCGGTAGAACTGACTACTTTTTTCAAATCAGAATCTAAATTGAGTTGTAAAATATCATTGGCAGAATGCTTTACATTATCGATGGTTAAGAATTTATCAGGATTGAAAACTTCAGCTGAAATATTGTTGTTCATTACTTCTAAACCAGCTGTCTTCAACTTGACTTTTTGTAACACTAGAGCTTTTAATATTAACCTACAATCTGTATGAATGAATCGACTCCAAAAATGATTCTCTACATATTGTTTATACGTCTCAATAGCATAGTACAGAGGAGTTTTATTTTTTTCATCTAAAATATCAACATTGGCGTTATATTTTATTAATAGACTTAATAATTTATAAATATTATAAGATATGCTACTATTTAGAGGCCTTTGTTTACAAATATTCTGTAGAAGAGTTGAATTTTGTGAATCAACATGATTAGGATTAGCATGATGATCTAAAAGGGTTTCTATTGCTTCAAAATCATTGACATTGGACGCTAAGAAAAGTGGTGTCATACCATTATTATCAACAGCATCAACCTTTGCACCATATTCTATCAATAATTTTATTAAATGTCGATTCTTAATGTGCGGAATTTTGCTAACAATATGAAGAGGAGTTTGACCTTGATCATTTGTTGCATTAGGATCAGCATAATTCTTCACGAGATATTCAACTGCCATGCAGCTCTTGTATTCACAAGCTACGATCAGTGGAGTCCAACCTTTTTTATCAACACTTTCAATATTTCCATTATATTTCAATAATAATTGTATTTTTTCTACAGTCGTATCATTTGAATATTTGCAAGCAATATGTAATGGTGTTTGGCCATCATCATTCGTCGCATGGAGATTGGCATTGTTAGCTAGAAGACATTTCACAGTTTCAGAATTGCCCATTTCACAAGCTGTATGAAGAGGAGTCCATCCTTTAATATCCACAGTTTCAATGTTAGCACCATGTTCTAGTAATAATTGTATCATATCTTTGGTCGTATTACTGCTGAATATGCAAGCAACATGAAGAGGGGTTTCACCATCAATATCCATAATATTAGGATTTGCACCCTTTTCAAGCAAAACTTGAACAACTGGTAAATTTTTCTTTCGACATGCAATAAACAAAGGTGTAACTAAACGATGATTAGCAAAATTATCATCTGCATTACAATCTAAAAGTGCTTGAATGATTTCTAATTGATCTTTTGATGTATGATAACAAGCATCAAGGAGTGGTGAATGACCATTACTAGTTACCGTATTGACTTGTGAATTAAGTTTCAATAATGTTTTTATAAATTTGGCATTAAAATTATTTTTAATGGCTGCATGAAGTACAGTATTACCATCTGGATTAATGTATTGAACATCAGCTTTATAATCTAGACAAAGTTGAGCAATTCTATGATGTCCATAAGTGATTGCATCAAAAACAAAATGATTACGTGGAACATGAAGGTGTATCGCTGCTCCTCTTTCTAAAAGTAATTTAATAATATTATAACGATCATCTTTTACATTAGAATTAAAATTAATACTGTAATCCAATAGAGACTGATTCAGTAAATTAATATGAGCTACATTGACACCATTATCTAAAAGTAGACGAACTATTTCTTCACAACCATTTTTCACTGCTATACAAGCTAAATTAAACAATTCTGCATAATTATTTATCTTTATGCCATATCTTAATAAAATTTCTGTTACAATTGAATCAGAATAAAAAACAGCAATATGTAAACATGTTAAATCTCTAGAATAATATATAGATTCATCCGATGGGAATAAATTACTATATTCACATAAATTATGAATGAAACATTCATCTTTCATCAATCTGTTATTCACATTGGATATTATCACATTTATATTTGCACCATGTTCTAAAAGTTTTTCAATCATTTCATAATGTCTATTTAAACAAGCAGTTGTTAATAGATTGAGTTCCGTTGTTGGATCCACCATGTTAACATTGATTCCAGAATTCAAAAGTTGCAAGACAATTAGTAAGTGTCCATTTTCAACAGCTCCATGAATAAAATGTTGATTACGATAACTATGTGGATGTATAATAAAATTCCGTTTCAATAACCATTCAACACTTTCTCTAGACTCCTCATGGTATTTAATTATAAGCGATTCAGGAATATATAAATCAGTTGATTTTATGCTATCACAACGTGGTACTATGGCTTTGATGATCTTCGAATTTCCTTGAGAAACAGCAGGGTATACAAGCTTTTGGAAATCAATGAATGAATTATCCAGCATCCCATGTTCAATTATCATCTGAACCAATGTGTGATTATTTGTGTTAATAGCTTTAAGAAGCAATGGATTTAAATCCTCTCCAACAAGAGCTCCTCTTTGTATAAGTAGTGACGTAATTTCTGTTTTACCATCTTGAATTGCTATGTCGAGTGGAGTATAATTATCTTTATTTCTAGCATGGATATTAGCGCCTTTATCAAGTAGTATTTCGATGATACTCAAATGTTTTTCTTTCAATTTAATAACTGCCCAATGAAGAGGAGTATTGTCATCAACATCAGGATTAACATTTGCACCATTTTGTATTAATTTATACGCTTTTTTTACATAACCACATCTAATTGTTCGACAAAGATCAAAAATATCATCTTGTTTTTTAAGATACATTGTTCATAGACTATTTACTTTGATACACGTTTGAAAATAATTTGATTTAGATACTAATTATTTATATAAAACACACACTATTATGGCACTGATGCTATTGTCGAACTGAGAAAAAAGACCCTCAGTTACTTCAATGCTTTCGAGCTTCCTACCACTTAGTTTTTACCCCTACTAGCACGTTTTCGTTACTGCGCAAGCGTAGTAGAAAAGCACATGAGAAATTAGTCGTGTTCACTGGCCTCATCACTTATGTGCGTAAGTGCACAGACAATTTTGAACTGAGCGAGATTGGGTTATGAGAGTTAAAAATGGTCTGTGCACATGCGCACATAAGTTATAAGGACAAGTGATGAGGCCAGTGACCACGATCATTCTTTTCTCAGCTCTAGAATCTTTTACACGTGTTGACCGTAATTTTATATGGGCAAATGTATATTTGTTGACCTAAGCTTTGTCCGGATTTGTAACCTAGGATTAAACTTCTATACCAGTCCTTCTTCTTTGTTAAGGGACTCTACTCAGTTTAACTACCGCGTGCAGCCCATTTGTTTACCCCCTGCCTCGTCATGGCAATGAACTTGATTTCATCAGTTTACGTAGTGCTCACCAGAGATCCTTTTTTTCCATCCTAATTAGCAGAGAAAAGAGATAATATATAGAAGAATTATCCCAATGAAAGCTGTTGAACGGTAATTTTTACCTGCTGTTTTATGGCTGGGGATACAAAGCTAATGCTAAAATGCCATATGTATCCTCAAGGAATCGTCCAACGGATCCCTATGCGGTCGTTCTTCTTTATTATTTCTTTTCTCTGTAATTCGAGTCCCTTAAAATGGAGTCTGGCAAGATAGAGTCAGGCAGGACTAAAGTTCCTTTAGTTCTTATGGTACTTTAGGCAGCAATCGAGCAATATGGCGTCGTTTTTCCTGACTCGTTTACGTCCGTAACGTACGTAAGTCTGACGGAAATTCAACGTTATGGCTGGCTACTAGGGAAAATTTTTAGAATTATTACAGAGATATAGACGTATAATTTCGATTCGACTAATTGAAAAAAAAGCATACATATATGAGAGAAATGAATGTTTTTATTAATTACTTATTTAAATAATTAACGAGTTATAATTATAATACAATAAAAGAAATACATAAATAAAAAAACTTATAATTATGACAATTTAATATGGAATTTAGGTTAAATTACTTATATTCTCGTTTCATTGCTATGATGAACATGATTAACTCTTTAATGTTAAAATAACTTAGTATTTTATCTATACATTCATAAGGCAATCGTTTGGTAATATTTAACATGAAATATTCGTTGGCAGACATTCTCAGTACAAAGTGTTTATCGAGAGTTTTTGCTCTTTGAAGTTGATTTTTAATAATGTCATTGTATAATGGAAAGTTTCTATTATAGTATACCATCTCTAGAAGTTTTGGAAATTTATTATTTCTAACTAATCTTCTTAGGAAATGACAATTCGTCCGAACCAAATCAAAGAAAGTGAGATCATCAATGCCGACACTTTTTTTCTTCATCTGTTCAATCTCTTGCTTACATTCGGCTTCAACCAGTCTTATATCATCAATGAAATCGTCGTATTCATGAAATTCATCGTTACTAATTACTTGACTTGAGCCAGAATCTAACTTGAAATTTAGAATATCATTTGCAGAATATTTTATGTTATCAATAATTATGTAGTCATTCGAATTATAAACTACACTTGAATGGTGTGCCATTACTTGTAAGCCAGCAGCTTCCAATTTTATGCCTTGTGTTATTAAACTTTTTATTATTGCTTCACAGTTTTTACGACGAGCAGGAACACAATATGATTGATCATTATCGTAAGAAAGCATCTTCTCAATAGCATAGTGCAATGGAGTTCGATTTTTTTCATTTAAAATATTAATATTGGCACCATGTGCTATTAATGCTTGTACTGTTCGATGGCTCTTAAACGAATAAACCATTTTGACACACGCATGTTTAACAGCGATATGCAGTGGAGTTGATTTCTCTAAATCTCTATGATCAGGATTAGCATGATGATATAACAGAAATGCAACGGCTAAATAGTTGTTGTGATGACAAGCAAGAGTAAGCGGTGTCCGACCACTATTGTCAACAGCTTCAATATTTGCACCATGGTCTATCAATAATTCTAGGATATTCAAAGTCATATCATTTGAATATTCGCAAGCAAAGTGTAGTGGTGTTTGACCTTTATTATTCTTAGCATGAATATTAGCATGATTGTCTAAAAGACATTCCACAGCTTCGGAATTGCCCATTTCACAAGCTGTATGAAGGGGTGTTGATCCATTGGTATGTAGAACTTCAGTATTTCCACCATATTGTAGCAATAATTTTATTATATCTTCAGTTGTATCACTCCTGAATATACAAGCAACATGAAAAGCAGTTTGGCCTCCGTATTCCTTAGCATCAGGGTCGTCATTTTTTTGAAACAATACTTCTATATTTGATAGTTTTTTACCACAACTTGTGATATATAGAGGTCTCACTAAACAACGATTCGTACGAGTAATATCTGCACCATGTGCTAGAAGTTGTTTAATTATTTCATAATGTCTATTTAAACAGGCAATTGTTAACAGATTGAGACCTACTTTTGAATTCATCATGTTAACATTGATTCCAGAATTCAAAAGTTGCAAGACAATTGATAGGTATCCATTTTTGACTGCTCCATAAACAAAATCTTCATCATGATGACTATTTGGATGTACAGTAAAGTTCCATTTCAACAACAATGCAATACTCCTTTTAGATTGTAAATCAGACTTTCTTACTAATTCTTCAGGAATATATAGATCAGATGGTTTTGAAAAACTGCAAAAAGGTATTATGGTTTTGATAATGCTCCAACATTTTTTAGAAAAAACAGCTTTGAGAATAGCCTGAAAATCAATTGATAGAACATCCAGTGTTCCATTATTTATTATTGACTGGACTATTTCGTAATTATTATTTTTAATTGCCTCAAGAAGCAATGGGTTTAAATCTTCTCCATCAAGAGCTCCATGTCTGATAAGCTGTATGGCGAATTTTGTTTTGTCACCCTGAATTGCTATGTCGAGCGGCGTATAATTATCCTTATTCCTAGCATGTAAATCAGCTCCTTTATTAATCAGCATTTTTACGATATCCAACTGTGCGGCGTGTAAGTGAATAACTGCCCTATGAAGAGGAGTATTGCCTCCGAGATTAGAATTAACATCAATTCCACTCATTATCAAATTATATGCTTTTCTCTTCAAGCCAAATTCAATTGCTAGATGAAGTTGAGTAATACTTTCTTGGTATTGGCGATACATTTTTCACAAACTATTAACTTTAATACACGTTTGAAAATAATTTGATTTAAATAATAATTTTTTATACGACACGTTCACTATTATTGCACCAACACTTCACTGCCAAGAAGTTGTAAAATTATGTTGGCCTTGGTGTATCACGTACAGTAATGTGTACGGAAAACGGAATTGCTTCTAGGCTTTACATACAATATCTTCTCGTACCCTATAGTTGAATGTTGACTATAGCAAAAAAGAAAGACGTGAATAGAAGTCCAACACTGTATGCTGTTTAGGGATCACCCAAGGTTACTTCAATCCCGTTAAATTTCTACCTGGCTCCATAAGGATACACACTAAATTTTTCGGCTACATCTACCCATTTGAAATAAACTCCTAGTCACGTCTCTCTTCTATACCATAGTATAGTGTGCCGGAAACTCTCACTATACTGTGCTGTTCAATTCGGCGGAAATTATAAATTTATTAAAGAAGTTTCTCACTCGCCTCCTTCTCTTACACACATTATCTAAATTAAAAATAATAATAATCATAATAAAAAAAAATCGATTATTTTTGCTGATTTCAAATAATTATGATGAAATCATAAGTCAATGAAAGATGTTTAGCTCTAATATCTGAATTAATTCTATAATCCGAAAAGTCACCATTATTTCATGCTAATTCAAAAAATTGAATAAATGATTCCACAATAAAGTTTGTATTTTTCATTTAGCGTGATAACAACGAAGAAGAAAAATCGATGTAAATTCTAATTCATAAAATTATCTAACTTCAATGTAAACAAACCTATTACCTCGATAAAATAATTTATATAATATTGATGATAGAGAAAGGACGAATAGTAGCCATGCACGTCCATGTAATTCATTCTACTCTTCAAAATAAAATTATGTAGCTCAATGCGAAATAATTGTATTAAAAACATTTACTTGGTAGAAAGAATATTTTTTTTGCACAGCAGTAGACTGAATTGAATCGCAGTTGATTAACGAGCAGTCAACAATCACAGACGTGTTAAGGAATAATACAATTATTCCATCAACGATGAAGAAATCTATCATTTTATTGTTATTAATATCAAGTATATTTTGCACTATCTCTACAATATTACCTAGCTATTCTGGCAACAATTTAACTACAACCGAAAATATGTTGGTGAGTATTTGCTGTTATATATATTTTTTTTTTTGCATTTAATTTAACAATTCAAATTTTTCTAGATTCATATAATCAAAAAATGTAAGCTTCGGCTTAATAGTACTATTTACTATACTGGAAATAATCCTGATCTAACTCAAGCTCTACTGGAGACTGTACCTTCTTCTGTAGATTTAGAATCCTGGATTCTTATTTCCCACACGGAAGACGACAGATTTGGTGATCTAACTGCTAAAAGTGGAATTATAGTAGTATTTAATTCATTTATTGAATACGAGAAAATACGTAGACTTTTAATAAATTATTGGAAATGTGTAGAGAATTGCAAAGTGATTTTTTTATCTAAAATGTTAAACTCTTGTCAATATGCTGTAGACACTCTAGTGTACCTAGGATCTTCATACTATGATATCTCCTACTACATTTGTGCTTCTAAGAACAAAAACCCGATAGTTTTTACACGAGATAAATACAACAACACTCGACGAGCTTATTGGACCTCAATGACAGTGGACGTTGAGTCTCTGTACGATGGAAGATTCTACGTGCGTCCATATGATAAAGGTACATTCAGCGTCATTAATGCCTGGTCCATCAAAAACTTTGATACCATCCGAGCAATTATCGATGGAGTAGTTTTTTTTTCAAATAGAGATTTCACATCTAAATTAATTTAGAAAGTTCATGATTAAATACTCTTTTAGATAGTCCCTACAACAATAGACTATCTCCACTAAAACATTTTTGAACCTTAATTTGAAAGAAAAAAACTACTCCATCGATAATTGCTGGGATGGTATCAAAGTTTTTGATGGACCAGGCATTAATGACGCCGAGTGTATTTTTATTCAATGATAAGTTACCGACTGATGGTAATACTTAACAATATATCAATTTCTGTGTTTAACAGGGTTATGTCGTAAATTTAATTTTAAACGAGAAAAGCCTAAAAATGAAGACACACGCGTATATGTGGGAATTTCCATCAATGTGGAAAAACAGGCAGACATGAAAGAGGAAATCTTTGAAGGAGATATACTTAAATCAAGAATCCCTTCTGTCGATCACTCAATAGCGATTCTTGAAGAATTATTAAAAATCAAATTCGCCTTTCATATAAAGACATTTTTACATAAAAAAGGTGAATACACGCGAAGTCGGGGTCCATATTATATGATGTCAACATCTGTTGATATATTGGGAACTCTCAACAATTTGATCCTCGATGTTAAGATTGCATACTCCCAACCAATACTTTACACCTCTTACGTTCTTCTTTCTTATAAATCAGCCGAAGCTACACCTCTTCAGCAAATAGCCGAGTTCTATGGCATTTGGACTTTGATATCACTAATTATACTCTCAATCATAACTTTTGTCGTGATATACTTGAAAACTAACAGGAATGCCACTTTAGCGGCCTTTGATGTTTTAAGACTTCTGATAAACTCAGGAGTTGAGATTCCAATCAATACTGGGTCACTTAAAATATTCTTCTGCATGATATTTCTGTATTTCATGGTAATTCATTCAACTTTTAGTGGAAATCTGCCTAAATTTCTAACAATACCTAAATACTACGACTTTATAGACTCCCTCGAAGATCTAACAAATCCACGGATTACAACGGTCTTTGATTCAGGCTATTATAATGATCTTTATCAATGCACAAATGATAAAATTAAAAGCAAAATAAAATATATCAACTATCATATTGATCTTATTCATCAATTCAAGATGGACAAAAATTCAGTTTGTATAATAGAAAAAAATTATGCTGCATACTATGTAGCCACATTTGGAAAATTAATGAATGAAATTTACATGAGTAAAAACGATATCGAAAATATAGCATTTGCTGTTGCAGTTCGACCTCGATTTTACTTACGAGAACGAATCCAATGGGCCACAACTTACATGTTCGATACTGGTTTACACCGAACTGTAAAATTACTATTTAGTAGAGCTCAGATGATTATTAAAAAACATCATTCTATCACTGAAATAAAATTTCGAAATATTAAAGTCAATGATTTAATGTTTGCATTTATTTTCTTAATCATTGGAAATACTTTTGGGTTTGTGTGTTTTCTCATTGAGTTTGTGATTGGTAACAAGTATCATCAGAAAATAAGTATTGGCTTTCTCAAAAAATTTATGATATTTAAGAGAAAGAAAACACGCGTTAAAGTTCGAAAAATTTTCGTCAGACCGAGACTTGATTTAACAGAAATTGATTGAGTTCTGAACCACCTTATTGTGGTGGTTCAAAAAGATTCAAATTAATTTAGACGTGGTGTTCATTGTTGAAGTATTTACGTGTGCTCTTGTTTTATTGTAACTCTTTATAAGAAACATAATGTACCCCGAAGTACTCTATAAGACTTGGCTTTATTTTCTTAAACAACACTATTACTTCTGTGCACATGAGTAATATTAATAATTTAATGCTTAGTAATTTTATTTACAATGTTAAAATTTGGGTGTAATTGAACCTATTACTTTAATGATATTTTAAAATATATGTGTGTCTATCTATAGATGGATTGACTAATGACAGTTTGTTAGTTGATAACGATTACTTGACGATTAGATTGTTTATAGCAACGAGAGGAGAGTTTGTTTATCTCCAGTTTAGGACTAAGACTAGCAAACTCTTGACGTCTTGTCTTTGATTCTGTATTTGAATCTGTCATTTTTAATAAACTAACTTTTAATATTAGTTGTTCTCATTCTATTATTTTACAATCTTTTTATGACTGTAATAATGTAGGAATGAAAAAGAATATATGCACACATGTGGATTATATCAGAGAAGAGAGACTGATCTCTTTTCTCTGGCAAAATATACTCTCACTCATTTTAAAACATCATTTTTCCTATATATCATCTTAAAATATCAAGTACTGATGTTTTATTTCAAAATATTATTTAATAATTTAATTTATTTAGCAAGTTAACAATATATTTACACTCTAATATTTGTTACAACAGAAAATCTTCTATCTGTTCTTTCATATTATCTAAATACATTTTCTCTTTACACTTCTCTAAAATAAACTCTGGAACAGTTTTCAAATCGAAATTACACTGAAAAATTAACCTACATCCATAACATAAAAAATTACTCACGTTTTTTACTGTTAAATCTCCATCGTTACTATTTTCTTTCTTCTCACAATCTTCATTACAATAATTAACACTTGCATTACAATGAGTCCTATCTCTTTTTTCATTCCTTGGTTTGAAACTATCACATTTTAAAACATTTTTATCTTCAATATGACTATTATTTACAATAACTGGAGTTTTTAATCCCTGTAGAGATATCATTCTTGAAAATGTAGTAGCATCAGTGGCAGAAATACCATCATCTAGAGGTTTAGAGTCCAATAAACCATTACAAAAAATACAACTATCACTTTCATTTTTATTTTTATTGATACTAGTAGTCATTTTTTCACCAGTTCTATAAATTGTCGATACAGTACCACTGAATCTTGTTTCTAAATCAGTTACAAACTGGTTTGTTAGCTCTTGGATTGATGAATAAGCACCACTATTTGTCAATTGCATCCAATTTCCAGTGTCACTGGCTTTTAAACTATTTATTTTCATGTAAAACTCGACTTCATGTGTGTTAAAATCCTTTAGTGGTCGTAAAATCATGACATCTGGATCTCGTTCATCAATAAATCCAACGTCTGATGACAATTGTGATCCTCTGCCCAGCGAAACATTGCTCAGAATATCAACAGCAAGTGAATGAAGATCATCTCCAACGAAAATTTTTGTACAATTTAATTTTTTAGCTGCTACCAACATCAATTGATTCTTCAACTTTTTTATGAAATCAATCTTTGATGTCTTGCTTGGTAATTTGTTCAAAATGGCGTTCAAATACTCATCTTTGTTATTTTTATCTAAATTAGAGCAGTAATCATCACTCTTTAAAGCTTCAATGTTTGAAGTTTTATCCAATGCATCACTAAGAGATAGAAAAAAACATAAAAACCCTAGTGCTTTGACTTTTTCATGAATTTGTTGGACATTTTGTCGTCGTTTATCAACATTCTGTTGATCAAGAATACCTTCATCAATAAAAAGCACTTTGATTTTGAAAACTAAACGTTTATGGACAGACTCATGCATTCCAGCTTTAATTAAATGAAGTAGTGTTGTGGATCTTGGGTCACCTGAGTAACCTACAAGAATTATATCTGATGACTTGACAATTTTTGATTTTCCTAAAGTCGCACGAAATTTGTGGGTTACTGCTATTAAAAAACAATCCTTGCAATAAAAATCCTTCCCTCGTAATCTTATTGCTGCTGTATTTACATCACATTTCCGACATTTATGATCATCTCTAAAATAAAAAAAAAAACAATCATTATTTATTTTTTTCAAACAATAAATTTTAAATTAAAAATATATCAACACAAAAGTCATACATTTTGTCAATTTTCTCATCTTCAATGAAATTTTGTAATTCTCCATCTTCATTATCATGAATACTACACATTTTAGATCCAAAGTTAACTGAAAATACATTAATTCAAGGCATGAAATCTCCAACATCAGCATGAAAACATCAAGAATAAATATTTATAACATTATGAAAAAATAACTCACATTATTTTCAGATGTATTGGAAGTTTTTATTATTCATGAGTGTAATAATGCATGAGAAATTGACAAAAAAACCCCCACGGAATTTATTTATATTATTTTTAACTTCAAAACACGTGTTGACAAGTCACAGAAATACATCTCCAAGATGTCTAAACTCACTTTTCACCGTGTACGCAGCCATTTTGAACAAAACAACGCCATTTGCAATTTTAGTTCACTCTCTATCCACCAGACGTAACAAATGGCGGACAAAAAAGCTCTCACTACATTCATGAACGTTAGTAGAAGACGAACTGAGCCACAATAAAGCCTGCGCATAGACTTGTACGTGTGATTAGCCTCACAGTTTGGACGTGGTTGGACGAGAGTGTGGGGCTGTGGAAGACGATGATGGCTGCCACCAGCGACGAACAGAGTAGTATGGAGTCTTCGCGGACGAATTCAGGGCAAAATCAAACAATAGATCGGCTAAAAATGCTGTATCCAATGGTGAATGAAGATGAAACACCACTACCAAGATCTTGGAGTCCAAAGGATAAGTACAACTACATAGGACTATCACAAAATAATCTTCGCGTTCACTACAAAGGTATGTAGAGACTTTTTATCACTTACACTATGTTCATTCAAAAACCACGACCTTTTGTCCTTCTTATTTCGTTCATCATCACCTGTCATACACTTTTAAAGTCATTATAATAATCATCATGATTTCAGTTAGATCCAGTTACATCTAAATAACGTTTAAATATTGATTTAAAATGGCAGAGCTTATTTTTTCGTGTATGTCAGCGACCTAAACAAAGGAATCAGCTGATCGGTCATAGTCTACATGTTCATTATTTTTTTTTCAACCAAACATGGACTTGAAATTATTGATCAATGTTGATTATTGAATTCATTCATTATCCTACGTCTCAACATTTTATTAAAATATCTATCATTTCTATCATCACTATTTTTTTTTTTTTTGTTTTTAGATACCGATAGCTATTAAAAAAGAAAACTAAACAAATCAAGATGTTCAATGTGTAAATGACAGCTGTTTTATTTATTTGTGTTGATGAATTAGAGCATGTGTTTACTAATTATACATCATATTGACACATTCATTTTCAAAAAGATATTTAAATAATTGTGATATTGATAAACTTTCGAATTATTGTTACTCAATTAATGACCATTTAGACTTATTTGTTTCCTTTTTTTTTTTCTTTTTTTTGTTATAATCAGATTCTCTCACGCCCTCTATCGTATTCATAATGTCGTATATATTTATGTCAATATCTCTCTCACTTCCACTAGTATTAAACACCTATTTTCCATTTTTGTCCCTTCTTTTCACTAACTTGTGGCATTTCTATATTCCAAGTAATCATGTAAAAGTTATGCTGATTTTATCTTCTAAACTCTATTAATATATTACAATACACCTACTACTTGCTCTCTTGGATTATAATCATCTTTGTTTCAACTAATTCACCAACTTAACGCACTTATTTCTGCATCGATAATTCACATTGTGACCTCACTTCTATAATATAAATCTAATTCATGTTTATTATTATTATTATTTATTGTTTTGACCTTGAATATAATTACAAACCTTGAAATCGGTATATATATGATGATGATGATGATTATTATTTATTTATTTATTTATTTATTCAATAATTGTTGAACTTTTTTTTTTTTAATAGCAAAAAATGGTTGATAATGAAGATGTTTAGATTGTATTTATTAAGATAAAGAAGATTGTTTTGGAGTTGAGAAATCTCAAGAAGTAGACTGAGATGAGATTTTTATGATAATTTTATGATTTAGTGCACGTGTGTGTCCACGTGTAAAATTTATAAGGAAATGTAATTGTTGATGGTTTCGATAGTGTATGAAAAATAATCATGAGTGGGTAAGTTGACGCGTGAACATTTAAAGTAACATCAATGAAAAGAAGAATGGGTTGACCTAGTGACCTACAAGTCATTGCTGGGTTTTATCTTTGGGGAAAGAAATGATGTTATTAATTAGATATTAATTCTTGGTTTTTAAAGAGGCATACACGGGTAAACAATAAAATGGCAATGTTTTTTAAAAAGCTCTAGAAAATTGGATTGAATTTGAAAAATTCTAGGAAATATATTAGGGATTTTATGAGAAATAAAAATTTAACAAAAGTCGCTAAATTGTGTACAGAAAAGCTTAAAAAAATTTTAGGTAAAATTTTTATTTAAGAAGCTTCACGAAAGTTATAAAAAAAAAATGTAAAAATGTATTTTAAAATTAGAAAAAAAGTTCTAAAAGCTTTTAAAGAATTTTTAAATTAAATTTCCTTGAAAACAAGTCCTTGATTATATTTAAAAAAATTCTCAGTAACGAATTTGTTATAAGAATTTTCCAAAGAAGTTTAAAAAATCTTTTAAATAAAATTTATTAAAACAATCTTTATAAATAATATCTAAATCCACTTTCAAAAAGGTTAAAAATTCTTTGATAAAGTAAAGCTTTAAAGCGCTAATTAATTTTAAGTGAAAGAAAGAAATTTTAAATATTTATATGATACATAAAATTAATGAAAATTTTGAAATTTTTAGGTTTTGGTAAAACACACAAAGACGCTGCCAGTGTTCGCACAACGCATTCAATACCTGCTGCCTGTGGTCTTTATTACTTTGAGGTGAAAATAGTGAGTAAAGGAAGAGATGGATACATGGGAATAGGTCTTTCTGCCCATGGAGTTAACGTAAATAGATTACCTGGATGGGACAAATACTCGTATGGTTACCATGGTGACGATGGGCATAGTTTTTGTTCATCAGGAACTGGTCAACCGTATGGGCCCACATTTACCACAGGCGATGTAATTGGTTGTGGCGTCAATCTTGTGGATAATACCGCATTTTATACCAAAAATGGACACCATTTGGGCATTGCCTTCACAGATTTACCAGTTTGTTCAAATTTTTATTACTTAAAAAACCTAAAAAAGAATATTTTAAGTCACTCTAGATAATTTTTATTCCAAAACTCGGCTTTTAATTGAAAAGAAAAACATTTTTTTAATTATCTACTAAGTATTTCCAGTAAACTTATTTGAATAATTGTTTAAAAAAGTGTTTAGAGAAATGTCTTGGAATGAAAGAAAGAAAAAACCATTTTAAAATAGTCATCAATATTTAAATAAATAGTTAAAAAATAAAAGTGACTTAATATCGTCTTTTTTTGGAATTTTTTTTCAATATTAATAAAGTTAATTGTTTATACTGATGATTATATTGATATTTATTTATTTTTTTCAGCCAAATTTATATCCTACAGTAGGTCTTCAAACACCTGGAGAAGTAGTAGATGCTAATTTTGGACAAACACCATTTGTTTTTGATATAGGAGACATGATCAATGAACTTCGTGTTCGAACTAGATTACAGATTATTAATTATCCTACACCTGATCATGGTCAGGGTCAATGGCAGGCTGTTCTTCACAAGTAAATATTTTTTTTTCTGTTATATTTAATTTTATTTAAAGAATAATACAAAATAATTTATCAATCAATGTTATAATAACATCATAAATCTACAATGTTGTTAAATTTTTATAAAATAAAATTAAAAGTTTTATTATATATTTGTTTTAGAATGGTTTCAACGTATCTTGTTCATCATGGGTACTGTGACACTGCCGAAGCATTTGCCAATAGCACAGGACAAGTCTTTGAAGAAGACTTTAATTCTATAAAAAATAGACAAAGTAATTAATTTTATTTAATAAAATCTTAAGAGTTTAATGAAATAATTAAAAAAAAAAACTAAAGGAATAATTATTTAAATTAAATTACAGAAATTTTAAAACTAGTGTTAGCTGGTAGAATGGGTGAAGCAATAGAACTCACAAGTCGGTTATATCCCGGATTATTAGAACGAGATCCAAATTTAATGTTTGCTTTAAAGTGTCGTCAGTTTGTGGAAATGGTGAATGGAAGTGATTCCGAAGTAAATCAAAATAATAATGACAACCAAACAAGTGTTATTCAATCAACAAAAACATACAATAAACTATCTGCTAATGGGAATGTTGAGGAAATGAATTTAAATAATACAATAAACGGCTCTACCGATCAACCATTTATTAATGGCCAGATTGAAGATGATGTAGAAATGGAAGAGAATACGATGAATAATATTAATGGTATTAAAAATAATACAAATGGTTATCAGAATGGTAATCCCAATTCAAATGGATATAAATGTATAAATGGTGAAGACATTGATATGGGTATGTATTTTATTTGTATTCATTTCATCAATAAATTGAATATATTATTATCAAGTTGTATATAATTAATAATTAATTTAAAGAATATTCAAGCTGTTACAATCTGGTATTGCTTTAATAATTATTTTTTCTAATTAATATTCTTGACAATGTTTTAATGCTAATTTATATCATTATTTGCATTTACTATGATTAAGATAATGTTTTACAAGAACTGATTTTATTTGGTATTTAAATTTTGAAAAAAAAAAGGACTGAAATTAAATCATAATCAATTGTCTATAATTTTAAAGTGGTGTACATTTAAAGTACCATTATTGTTAATTATTTCAATTCTTTCATTTAATACGTAATCATTTTCAATTGTTGGAGTTTGAATTTTTTAAAAATATATTAACAATGAATCCATTCAATATAAAATTTTCATTTATTTTTTTTTTCTTTGTTTATAGAAATAGACAGTGCCAATCAAAATCAAAATAACAACAGTAATACAAATAATAATGGTCTTTGTAATAACACAGAAAGCCAAAATTCAACGATAAAAAGTAGTAAAAAACAATTATGTGGTGGTAATAAACAAGCAATTGAAAAGATGCTTGAGTTTGGCCGACAATTATATTCACAGTCGATACATCTTCGGCAACAGTATGGAAAAAATGAAGCCAATAAAAAAATGTTACAAGATGCATTCAGTTTATTGGCGTATTCGAATCCATGGAATTCACCAGTTGGTTGGCAATTAGATCCCCAGGAACGGGAAACTGTATGTGCTAGACTTAATTCTGCAATTTTAGGTAAGTAGTTATTTCAAAAGCAAATTACAAAATTCTTTCATTAACAATGATGTATGTCAATGAATACTGGACAGTTTCTTTATGCTTACTGTAATGAAGTAAAATCTTCCAAAATAATTAATATTATCTAGTAAATGACTGGTACATAAATGTTATTAATTATAAATGCAATGCTAATTTTTTTTTCTCTAATTTTTAAACAATGCTGAAGAATAATGAGAAGTTTTTAATTTTATTTTTGTTCATAACAGCCTTTTCCTACTCCAAGATTCTTAATTTTATATTAATTCTACCCTGAGTGACAACCATCACCTCTATGTTGGAAATAATTTGACAATTTTTAATTTATCATGATAGGTATTCTATAAATTAATTGTCAGCTCGTAAATTACAATAGATTTCCGCAAATTATCTTCATTTATTCTTTACGAGACAATCGTATGCTCACTCAGAGCTCCATAAAATTTTCAGTACATCTTGTACCTCTTTCAACGATTCAAGAGCCTCAAATTGTCGGATTTCTTAATTATTTTTTATGTAATAAAGATATTTAATCTACTGAGTTTTTATGTCAAAGAAGAAGTTATGCTCTTAGGTGCTTTATTAATGATAAATAAGCTTAAAAGTTTGTAATTAATATTAATAATATTTGATGTACTGGTCGTTCACTAGATGATGGTCAGATTTATTCGACATTTAATCCTATTTTTCAATAAATCTATCAAAGTTAAAACATCGAAATATTTTTGCTACTCCATGAAGTCTTTCATCAGCTTAACTAATCATTTTAATTCTGGATATCTCCATTTCTTCCTCTATCCAATGTCAAGCATATTAAGTAGGTCTTTTCTAGTTGTTTCTAATGATGATATTAACTCTTCATCAAGTTGAAATATTTCATTGTTGATGCAAGAACCTTTTTTAGGAATTATTTATTACTAATTTATTATTATTTTTTTTCATTTTAGAGTCTACGAATCTTCCACGACGACCACCCCTTGAAGTAGCAATATCTCATGCGAGGGAATTATTACGACTGATGTCTGGAGCTGGTCTCGGAGCTTGTGGTTTTGCAGTTGTGGATAATATCATTCAATATTGACGGTGCCTACCTCTGCTTTCACGACCGCTTCTTCTACCTGCCCGTGTGTGGTGAGTGATCCTCTTATTATCCAGGGAAAGTGCCTGACAATCGATGGACTCGACGAAAACAGCAACGAAACATTTCCAGAAGCAACAAAAAATTCTTTAATTGCACTACAATGCAACTTATTATGGGTAAAAAATCGAACTTCTGGCCATTTTTCCTTACAAAAAAAAAAATAATAACAAAATATAGTAAAACAAAAAAAAAAAACATAGTGATTCTAATGAACACAGAAATATTGTATAAATATATCCTGGATAGTTGAGTCTAATGGAATCAAAGTCCTTGGGGTAAAATTTTTTTTACAAGAAAGATCTTTTAGGATTCGGAGACGGAACGTGGAGCAGACGATACTATTGATGGAACAACTACGCGATTTAGCGTGCCTCTTCAACTAAATGCCAAGATAAATTTTATGTTTTTTGTGAATATATTATTAAATTAAACAAAATAACTCTCCATCATCTTGGCTGATCTCAAGACCACAACAGCGTAGACATAATCAAGTTAGACGCTCAGACCTGCCAACTAAAATTGGAGTTTAAATTTTCTTAGATGAAATTGAATTAAGATCAACGAAAAAAAAAAAAAACAAAATAATTATTCAAATACTTAGAAATTGGTTTACAACAACAACAACAACAACAGTTTGCTTGAAATTTATCACTCGCTTGTGGTAAATAATCCGCTAATAAATGTTTTTATCACGTTTAAACTGAGCGTTGTATTATGTTTTCCCGTTTCTAGGAGAAATAACGATATTTAATGACAAATTATGTTTTGAAATAGTCATTTTTAAATGTGTTCGATATAAACACTTCTTTATACTCAAATAATTTGTACAGAAAAATTCTAAAAGAATACCATTTTTTCATTATAATTTCACTTAATGCGCATGCGTCATAGATCTTATTACGTATGAGAATGTGCGCATGTGCAGCCGAAAAAAAAAAAAAAATTATGTAAAATTATAAAAAGAAAAATTTTATTCTTTTAATTTTTTCGACAATAATGTCAGACAGTTTTTAACAATATTATTGATCAGATGATATTATTATTTTTTTTTTTTTTCATGTTTTACCAACAATTAGCATTTTTTTTTATCAAAAAAAATGTGTGCAATATATTGTGTCTTTTAGATAAATTTTATTTACATTTTTGATCACAAATAAAATAAATTAAACTAATGGAAACGTGAGAACATTCTTTATTGATGAACACAAAGGTCTTAAGTTAACATGAATAATATAGAAATGGAAAATTAAAAAAAAAAAAAAAAGTATAGATAAAAAAAAAATAATAATAACTTAACTAAGAAACGATCTTGTACTCTATAATAAATAATAAGTAATTGTTTTTTATATGCGAAAATAGAATATATGAAAAATGGATAATGAATAATAAGAAAAAAAAAAAAAAAAATATTAAAACAATTATAAAAATAAAATCATATGCAAACACTAGTTAATAAGCGAGCGTTTAAATACAATTTAATATGTAAACAAATCATATAAATTAAAAATTAAGTTAAACTCAGATTAATTATTAATTGATTAAAATAATTTTTAGTGTTACGTTTTATGTACTATAGATGAAATTATAATATTAATATGATGATGATATGTGCGAATACATCAATTATTTGGACAAGAAGATTTTTTTTTATTTTTCATAATTTTTGCCGTTTTATTTCTATATTTTTAAGATTATCCCTTGACTATTTTCCCTAGGGTTGTTTTTTGTGCATTGTTTTCGATAATAGTGGTGATTAATCGATATATCATAGGTGCTAGAATCGATTTCTCAACATATACCTGATTAACTATTGTGAATCGATTTTTTAACTTAAATTTCGTTCAAGAGTGGAATTTACTTAGATTGAGAAAAAAAAAATAATAATAATTACTAATAATTGTAGAATATTTTATTAAATAGTCACAATTAATTCATTTATTATTTTCTAATTATATAATATTATTAAATAATAATTTCATGCAAATCAAAATTATAAATAATATTTGTGAAAAAAAGGAATGTTTTTTAATTAAAGAAAGATTTATGAATTTTATAATTATGAGATTTTGAGGGAGGGGGGGGGAGGGTTTAATTAATTGTCATGTATCTATAAAAGATATTTGAAATATTTGATCGTATTAGAATACAAGAGATTATATTTATTATAATATTATAAAATATTTTAATTTTTATACTCACTTATCGACTGAATTAATTTGTTTATATTTAATTTGTGACTGAGAATAAATATTTTTTTAATTTTTTACTAATTGTTAAAATCAACTAAAAGACCTGTTAATAATTTGTGATATTAAAAAAAAAAAGAATTGAAATCATTAATAAAAGAAATATTATTGTGACTGTTTAATAAAATATTTTATTAATTAAAATAAAAAAATTTTTTTTTTTCTCTGTGTATATTGAAACAAAAAAAAATTTTTAAACCATGTATATATAGTTTTTAACAGTATTTATATAGAATTTATGTATATATCTATACATATAATAAAAAAAAAATGGGTATTATTTTTTTTAACTGTTTTGATATACAAGAGTTGATTGAAGAACTCTGAGTCTATAAAAATGAATTCCAACGATATTTAAAAGATTTTTATTATTTTAAATGTATAGTATCTAACATCAGTAATATTTTTATGTTTCATTTTTCTTACCAAAAAGAAGAAAAAAGTAAATAGTTAATTACAAGAAAAAAAAAACAAACAAAACTTAACTAATGAAATCAATAAATGTACTTTGATCTTTTTATTAGTGAAAAAATTACTTTAATTCCCTTTTTACATCTATTGTTTTTTATTTAATGATATGTTAATTGTTTAAATATTATTGTTTGTAAGTTTAGAATATAAAAAAACTTCCCCAATGTTAATTATTTTATCACTAATAAATTCGATCAGACGAATAATTTATTTATATATTTATTGCACAATCATCAATAATAATTTCTGCAATGAATAATAATAATAATATTATTAATAATAATAATTACAATAATACTATAATAAAAATAAGAGATACAAATCCAAGTTCTGAGCAATTGAATGTCTGTGTAAAATGGCAGCTGCCTTGTAGCAACAAATGGAAATAATATTTACTCTTACAACTAATTCATTAATCCAATAATTGTTCACTATAATTCTTTAATACTTTAATTTAAAATAAATGATTTTTTTAATGAAGATATAGAGTAGATGTCCCAATTATTGATATTATCCCAGTTATTAACGTTCAATTATTCGGACTAATAATTTTTACATACCCTAGACGCAATTTTTTTTCTGATTATCTTATAAACTGTGAGAGATAAGAAAAAAGGTTTAGTATAAAAATTAAAGATTATTCAATTTTACAAAAAAAAAGGTTCGTAAATTAGCGAAAACGAGATGATAAGGTTGAAAAATTATTAAAAATTGATTAATTTCATTTTGCAATTAAACCATAAGAGATACGAGATAATACTTGAGAACATTTTTTGTGTAAAATAAAAAAATCTTCAATTTTCATTCGAAACTTTTTTTCATATCTCTCATAGTTTATAAGATAATCAGAAAAAACTGAGCTCTGCCTTAGCTTTTCGATAAAGTCATCCTTTGCACGGAATTGGTACAATGTTTTTTATTGTCACTAATTATTCATAGCAATTACTAAGATAACAAAAATCAATTTTAGACTCAAATAATTGTGTGATTCCAAATGAAAAAAAAAAGAAAAAAAAGATTAAAATAAGTTAAATAAGTGTACATAATTATTGCAGTTATTGTTAAGTCATTATCTAAAACAATGCAAAATTAATGTATCAATAATAATACATTAAAAAATTTAATTTCCATTGATGTCAAATTAAAAGAAATCTTATGATTAATTTACTAGATAAGTAAGTGACACTGGAAACCAGTCACAACGTATTTAAAAAATTATTTCGATGTTTCAATTCATTGGAACATTCACTCTAGTACTTAATAATAATAATAATAATTTTCACAATAATAAGAATAATAAAACGTCATGATCATTTTTCTAAATTCTTTATAATAATATACTTTTTAAATACATATAGACTAGTGTGTGACTTATAGGCCAAATGATAAGAAATTCAACTTTTAAGTTTCAGTTACAATTTATTTTTATTTATTTTCGAATTATTATTTGTAACTTCCACTCTAATACTATAGAATTATCAACAGTTTCTAATTTATTTTTATATATTTTTTTTTTATTATAATTCTTTGTTTTTTCTCAATGATTTTATTTCGATCAATTCCAAATATTAATCAATGATTATAAATGAATTAAACTGGTCAATAATTATTTTAAATAATTCGTTGAATTTTTAAGGAATGATAATGTTGATAAAATAAATATACATGTAATTTAATAACTTAATTTAAATAAGCTTCAGATCACTGAATTGAAAAAGCACCTCAGTGAAGAACAAAAACAAAAAAAAAAACCAAATACCACAGATATAAGTTTCAGATCAATTGAAAAATTCCATTTTAGAATTGATATTATTTTTCCACCTTTTGTTGTCTTAATGAAGGGTTTGAAAATCATTTTTCAAATGATTAGCATTCATTAAACCTACCCTCTACTATTCTACTTTAACTGCTCAATGAAAATTTATCTTACAATCTCGTGTGATGTCTATTTTTCTCTTAATTCTTCTTCTCCTGTCATTCATCTTTATCCCATTTAGCTTCTTCTGCTATTCGGTCGAAACAATCCAATAAAAATGTGTACTAAAATACAATAAATAAGATTTAGTTTACAATTAAAGTTAAGGTTTAATAATAATTGTTTAGATTAAATTAGACCTAATGAATTTTAAAGTTCTATTTTTCAGGTATCAAAATGGATGCCAATTTTTTTAACATATATGGACTACTTCACAACTAGCCCAGGATGATTTTCAGCTTGAATTCGTCAAATGTTGCTTCCCCCTTGCTCTGTGCCGACCCTCATATGGCCTAAATAAATTTATTTACTATTTAAGTGTATCCCAGCACAAATAAGTTATTTTTGGGGGTGATACCCAATCGGAAGTCCACCCTTGTTATGGTAGGATTAGGCAACTTTGACTTTTACAAAGTAACCGGGAGAGATTTATCAGCACATCATGTGAACGATATTTTCTCAATTTATTTAAAATCTAACTTGATGGTGAACAACTTCATCGTTTGAGAACTAGAGTAGCCTCTATGATTTCTGCTAAATTCAAAGACACATCTAAACTCTAACTGAAATGTTTTTTAGGCCTAATTTGATCATTTTTTATTGAAACAATTATCATTATGATTCAAAGTTTCACTAAAGATACTTACATAAGGAGTAAAAACTTTCAACCATCTTGGAGGACGATCGTCTTGTCTAGTATATTGAAAACAAAAAGCCATTCCTTCTTCATCAACTTCCCACCTAGTGATATTTTTCCAAGGAAATTCTACCACTTGACTCTCTATAGTACCGTCTTCTTTAGCGGCATGTAATTTAAATGCAGCAGCGCCAACTGCAGCAATCACATGACCTTCCTTTCTGGAATCACAAGGACAATGTGGAAAAACAATATCACCATATCCACTCAACTCCTTGGCTAAATTAAGGTACTCCAGTTTTCTCGAAGCATCTTGAAGTGCTTTCAATTGGTACAATCGTTCACCAGCATTAATATGGCCACGATTAACTTCATCAATAGTTTGCCAAAAAATCCACGTTAAGGCAGCGTCATTTAATGAACGTGAAATGTTAAAAAGCCATCGTCGGACAGACAGACATGTAGCACTGGCTGTTGAGTAGTTTTGAATGTACAGAGTATGAGGATGTTCATGAGGTTGAAGTTTACGTTCAAAATTGTATTCAACGATTTCGAACAAATAAAAATACTTTGCGGTGTCAGGATCAAGACCAATTTTGTTACAAGTCGCATCATAAACATCTTTAGCTAAAGAAGCTTTTGGAACTGTCACTGTAACAACTTCACGGTCGGGAAGGAGTATTTTAAGATCCACAGCTGGACCTTGATCTCCATCATCATCAAGATGATCTGTTAAAAATTCTTGCATAGCATCTGACTCAGCTATTACTCGAACTGCACAGACTTTTTCTAAATACTGTTCAAGACCTCTTCTTCGAGCGTCCAATTGTTGCTCTGACATTTGAAATGGCCATTTTCCTGGTAACCTTGGGAAATTAAAACCTATAAATTCCTTCTTCAAGGCCACATGTAGTGCTGCGAACTCGCGATAACGACGGGAACAAAGATGACGACCAGCCATATATACATTATATACAATATAACGTTCATGCCTTCGTTCTCGGACGTGGTAATCTGGTACGCTTATTGGAAGTGAACGTTTTTCACTGTAGTCCACTGCTGCATAACTGAAAAATAAATTTGTTTTACAGTCAATTTCGGTTTGTTTATAATAATTTGTTGGACAATTTGGGCAAACTTGATCTCAATAAGGATCTAAAAACATTTAAAAAGACACAAAAGAGTCTTTTGTTAAAAATGGAGTTAAAAAATTATTTAATTAATAATAAACGAAATTTATTTTGAATTTTATTGAAATAACACTCGAGAGATAGTTTTCAAGCTATCAAATTCTGTCTGGAGAATAATCAAAAATTATAGACTAAAAAATTTATCTTGATGAAGAAAAAATATCATGTCTAGCCTGTAGATGTTTAGAAAATTAAATTTGTTCATTGTTTTTTATTTATCACTTGTGTTTGAGAATAAACACACCAATAGATGAACAGTTGACTCCAAAAGATGGACAATAAATAAAAAAAATCATGCTAAATAGAAAACAAAAGTTTATCTAAAGCATTTTATTTTTTATCCATTATGCTATCAATAAAATGATTTTTGTAGATCAATTTTAAATAAAAATTTTAATAGCTTTAAAAACATTTTTTCACTACTCTAAAGTCGCTTTGTTATTAGAAAAATAGTAAAAATTAATTTAAAAAAAAAGGCTATTGTTTCGTGTCATTGTTTTTTTGAATATTTTCTAAAGCATTACCATAAAATAATAGACTTATTTTATAATAATAATAATACGTCCATAGTTTCTTTAAAAAATAATTTTATATTGTGTTTAATTAAATTGTATTTAATCAGACTCAATTACTTTTGATTGATTCTATTTAAGTTGGACCACTCGTTGGATATTAAGAAGCTTTCTCAGTTCATTCAATTTCTATCAAAATATTATTTTCATCGAACAAAAGGCTGTTTTAACTTCTTAGCAACGTTTGTTCTAGAAATATTAGAGAAATAAATATCAATACTTGATGTGTAAGGGGTCAACTCCCTTCATATATCTTGATAAATAAAAACTTAATTGAATTTAATCAATTTTTCCTGAAATTCATGTAATAATGATGTTCTATTGAAGAAAATAATCACATTTTAAACATAAAATTCTTTAAATTAATAAAAACTTTGAAATTAATTATAAATTACTGAGAATAATTAAGTCAATCACCTTAAATCTTCAAATGGTTCTAGACGTTCAGCTTCCTGTGGAGTCACTGAAATTACTGTTAACGTCAATACATCACCACCTGATTTAATTAAATCAACAACTTGTTTATGAGTAGCGCCTTCAACATTTATATTATTCCTGAAATAAATAATATGTTGAAAATAAATCATACTTTATTACTAAAAACTCTAGACTTGAGTACTGTTTAATTTTGTTTTGAAGATTGTTAAAAGGTTATAATTTATTTTTTTTTTCTAGCATTCTTACACTTCCAAAATCCGATCTCCTTTTCGTACACCTGCTTTTTCTGCAGCTCCATGAGGAAGAACAGCACTAACATGTTGTAAAGGTGCATAAAGTTCTCCATTAATACTACGAAGCTGTCCACCTTCACTGACCTGCCCACGAACATTAAAACCAAATCCAGTTTCCGTTTTATAAATAGTTACACAACGTGGTCCTTGACCGATTGGATTTGGTGTATTATTTGTATTACTTGAACACTGAGACACATGACCGTTGTTTATCATTTTTATTTCCGAATTATTAAGAGCACAATCATTATTATTTTGCGGCGAATGATGTACTTCAGATGAACAAGCCGCCATCTTTACTAATTTTACGAATTGTAACAGAAGTCGATTTTATCGACGTATTAACGTTCTGCCATCTATCGACAGTTGTTTCAACTCGGTACCAACGTAGGGTAACTCGTCTTGGATAAAAAATAGGTCTGAGCACACTTTGTCTGTGCTTACACGACGAACTTCCCATTAGTAATTGTTTATAACAAATTCGTATTGTTATAAACAATGTGTAATTGTTGAAAGTCATATTTGATTGTGAACAATAATGTCTAGTCAGTATCGACTCAATTTTCAAATGAAAATGTTATTGTTTGACTTAAAAGTATTTTAAATAGCTAATCTTTTCATTTTTTTATTAGTTATTTTGTTATAAAAAAAAATAGCTTGACCGAATTTGTCGATATCTCAATCCGTTCTTGAGATATTGAAAACGAAAAAAATGCTGACATCCGTACAGACATACGTACGTACGTACACGTACGCATCATTCTAAACATATGTCAGTATGCTTGCAAATACCATGAACCGTAGAGATACGATGAAAATTCAAATTTCACCAATCGACCCAATTACAATAACTTCCTAATGGGAAGTTAATAATAACGAATTATTATTCTTTTGTTTCTTGAAAAATTTTGTCAATTAGATTTACAGATTGTCCATAAGGTTTTGAAAGAATATCGTTAACAATTTTTATGTATTCTACAACTTACAATTATTAATTAATGATAGATCTCTTCTAAAATTGCCGCAAAAATGGTTGACTTGAATGAACAGCACAAAGGGGAAGTTCAAAGAGTGATAAAGAGCATTTGTGAGCATTAATGTCAATTGATGAATAAAAATACAATATTTACAATCACTCAATACTATTTAGTCAATGTTCGATAAAATAAGTAATAAAATTAAAATATGTTCATTACAATATATCATGCTCATTGTTGACATCTTACACAATATGATACTTCCTGTGAAAATATTTTTATAATCAATATTTATTACCATTTTGGCAGTTAAATTTAAAAATGTACTATTGAAAGTTAGGATGGGTATTTGTAAAATCAAGTACAAGTTGAATTTCTATTTAAAAAATATATATTAATGAAAAGCTCATTAAATATAATTAATGAAAAGCTCATTAAAACCTTTGAAAATATTGTCAGAGTAATAAAGAAGCTCTCTGATGTGTTTTTTTTTAAAGAAAAAAATTTTTTAAATATGAAATAATTTTTTAAAAAATTCTACGTTCCACGGTCCCTTTAATGGCATATAATTAATAAACGGTAAGAGATACGTAAAAAATGTATGAATACTTTTTTGTAGAGAATTTAATTCTCTACAATTTTTACTCGAAACTTTTCTTCATATTTCCAGCCGTTCTCAAGATATTACGGAAAAAGTCATTTTTGTACTCTTTCACATTTTTTTTGCAAGGGTTCCCTTGCATTCAGGATCCTGATTTTTTGCATTAATATTCCTACGACCCTTACGCACATTTTCGCGTTGGTTTCATTCTTTTACCGCAAAATGGTAATTTCAGCCATCCATTCATTGGACTAATAACTTAGTTCTTTATTCTTATCACGGATTGCATTTAGAGAAAACGTCCTTACATTACAGATAGTCGTACAGAACTGACTAAAGACCTTAAACTCATCAAGTATTATTTAGACAAAGGGATCTAAGCCACTTCTCTATTTGTTTAAACATTACAGATGGTTATAATAAATAAAACACATGCAATACTCTGAAGATAGAGTACCAAAAAACTTAATAAAGAAAGAGTCCTTTGTATGACCCAAGTGTCTGAAGTCATAAAACAGGGTTAGGTCTCGCTTCTTCTCTTTATATAGAAATATGTTTATAACTAAGTGTTGAGTTCAACCATAAGTTTAATATTTAAAAAGCCATTAAATAAAATAAACAAAATATTAACTAAATAAGATTCATTTTTGTTCAAAGAATCCAACATGTACGACATTTATATTCCTTCATTATTGTATTTACTTATGGATTTATACCGATCTACACTGATTGGGCTGTTAATTATGAATTACACAGTTTTATGACCATATAATAACAAGAAAAATTACAGTAGAAAATATTTAAAGAGAAATATTAAAGATTGTTATCAAGCATATGATGGTAGATAATGGACATGTAATGGTGATGATTATGACCCCATACCTTGCAAAGATACTATTATCCTTGATGATCTCCATGCTCTTCCCACCATCATATCAGTATCAACATGAAGATTTTAATCAATGGAAAATATATTACATTTATCAATGAAACAATTGTTTCATTAACTTCTATTCATTTCCATTACCAAAAATATCATGCTCATAATAAGTTCAATAATGATGATAAGTTCATTAGTGTTGGACTACCAACTATCAATGTCAATCAAGTGAATACTGTAAGTATGATATTTAATCAATTATATTGTTTATACAGTGTTGGCACATTTTACAGATATATTATGAGTTTTAAAATATTAAATAACAATGCTTTGTAAAATGATAATTATTGATAAAATTGAAAAATAAACTGGACATAAAATTCTTCCAGATCATGACGATTCTCCAGATCAGTTCTGTATCACTTGATGAACAGACTTCGTATCTTTGATCTCCAGATAACGACAGAAGATAACATTCCAGTATGGAATAGAAATAACTGAAAATAATGATTTATTATTACTGAAAGATTGAAAAGGAACATTAAAATAAATTTTCTATTCCTTGGATTTTGATTCTTACGTAAAATAAGACTGATAATAATCAAAGATGGTAGTATTTCTTTTATATCTCCACTTTCTAGTCCCATGATTGGTAACACCAATATTAATACGGCGAGGCATTCGATGATAAGTATTTTCAATAAAATATGAGGAATTAACAATCGATGACTTTTCTATAATATCAAAAGTTACAGTTTTATTCAATATTTTTTTCTTACCAGTGATTGAATTTTTGAAACTTTGATCATTTCTAGCAAATTAGTGATTACCTTCATGGATCCAAACATCATCACCAAGCATGTGCAAATTGATAGAATGGCAACGACAATAAAGTAGATGGATTCAGTGACATGGCTTTTGTGGAAAAGAATGGAATTCTCTACAATAATCAAAGTATTTGATATCTAGACAGGAAGCAAAAGTTGGATAAGAATGATATAATCAAATAAAAGTGAGTTGTTTGTTAATAATCTGTAATTCCTCACCAAATCCAGGATACCAAAAATAAAACATGCTTGTGATAAACTGAAGCAAAAGAACTTGTTCCATTTGAATCTATATGCCATCTTCTTATTGTTTTAAAAGTCAATTTCACTACACAATTTTATGCTAAAGATTTACAGTCAAGATTCTTTGAATTAAGTTGGAGAAAAAATGAATTTGACATTCAGCTTGTTGATGGAAATATCAGACTGAATGATAGAAGAATAAATATTAAAACAATGATGCACTTAATCAATAACTGTTAAATTTCACTTTGGATTAATGATTTGGAATACTTTTTTATAGCCTCTGGACTGTAGATAATAAAAGTAGGTTTTCATTCTTACTTATTTTAATGATAGTGAAAAGAGCTTTTTTGAATATTCTAATAATTATTTAGCTTGAGTCATAATTCATGTAAGATGTTTATTGTTTTGCTTATTCATACAAATCTTATTCTAAATTATAATTAAGTTAGAGGTCGATTTTTAACTTTGAAAAGTATTTTATGGAAAAAAACTGATTGGATCCGATTGAATTGCTCTGATTTAGTCTATTTAGATTTTATTATTCTCCATCCGGGACTATTTATTCAATTATCTGAAGTCAATATGTATTGTTGTATTCCCAATGACTGGACGATATTTTATTTAAATCTATTCGTTTATTGTCAAGTAAATAGGTACACGATATTACAGAATATTTGTTGTATGAGCGATTTAGAAGATTTGAGTAGTTCAGATGATAGATTCTAAGTAAGTCTCTGGATATTGAAGAAAGGAGCTTTATTTAAAGAGCTGACCCGAAGGTCCAGGAGAGGGGTTGAAATCTAGCTTGTAGGGTTAAAGGAAGTGTTTTTATGTAAGGGAAATTTGGAGAAATCGGGATAAGTCCAAGGTTCATATTTTAGAAATCAGGGATGATATAAAAAAAAGGGTTTTCGGTGAAGGACTTGGAATGTATATAAAAACTAGGTTTTCTCTGTAGAGAAATCTTAACTTTCTAAAACTATAAAACTAATGTTTCTTTAAAATTATAAGTGTATAGGTAAGGTATATAACATTATTTTAATATTAACATTCATGAACACATGTTAATTTGTGTTTTTTTTTTGTTATAAATTGAAAGTTTTTCCTTTTAATCAAATATTTCAAATACAACATATTGAAACACGAGATTTGTTGTGTGTAATTTGTAAAAAATTTCATGAGAAATAAAATAAGATCAGTCTCAGCTCTCTACGATTGATAGTTTTCGAGATATTGAAGCCTTAAGGCTGGGCTTTACTAACCTCAAATCACCTCAAATTTTTCGCGTCAAACTGTGCATTTTTTATTTGTTTTTTTCATGTGAAAAATATTCAGGAATATGTAGAAAAGTGGCATACACATCGGAAAACAAAGATTTTTCGTACCAGTGTAATAATAATCGTAGAATAAATAACTGTTCAGTGAATTTTGAGGTGTCATGGCGGATTCACTTGTCATGAGCCCTTCATTGAAAAGTTATTTATTCTACGATTATTATTACACTGGTACGAAAAATCTTTGTTTTCCGATGTGTATGCCACTTTTCTGAATATTCCTAAATATTTTTCACATGAGAAAAACTAATAAAAAATGCACAGTTTGACGAGAAAAATTTGAGGTGATTTGAGGTTAGTAAAGCCTAGCCTTAATACAAAAAAGACCACTGTTTTATAAACAATTGACTGTAGTTCATCAACAAAATTATCTTTTTGAACTCTTCGTTTCTTTTGTTCTATATCCTACCCTTATATTATAACTTAGTT